AAACTATGTAGATCTTTGGAGTTTAAATTTGGATTAGCAAACAAGAAGAGCTGGTCCCTTCTCCTGCTCTTTCATATAAATTTAATGTGTTTTACAATGAGTGCAGTGAGGCATGTCTCAATGTTCTCCAAAACATGGCGACCATGCAGACGTTCTTTATTTAATTACCTTCATTGATTCATTAATTCAGCCAATCTGTGGGTCATATATCTAATAACTTTACACAGTGTCTGCCTGCTGCTGACCTCTTAGTATTTTATTGTTGCAGGATTTCAGCCAGTCTAAACTGATCACGTCTGCTTGTAACATTTAGGAATGGAATGGAAAATAATTTTCAGAGGTATGTTTTCATTAGTGTATAATCACCTGAATATAGGAATTGTTGTTTTTTCGCTATCTTAGTTTTTGTCCATAGACGTAGCGGGATGCCTGCCCTGGACTATGCCATGTTGAACCACCATACAGTAGCCCAAGATTGGACAAACCAGACACTGGCTGTTGATAGGGCCCTTCTCCCATACACTTCACAGCCTTTTCTCATTCCTGGGTCATCAAATACCCGACCGGGAATGAGAATGATGAAAACCCATCATTCCCCAGTTACAATTGCCACAGTCTGACAACAAAAGTTCTTACATTAAATGAACATAATATTACACTGAGCCAGGGAGAGAGAGGGCTTATGAGAAATAACTGTCCTTACAGAAAAAAGAAGATGGACCAATGGTAAGCCGGTCTATCCATTCCAGAAGAGAAGAAGAAGTAGAACATCAGTGTTGAGTGATTAGAATAACAACAGTGGGAAGACAGCAAGTGTAGATCTCTGCTGTGGAACATATGTGACCGCCGGCTCCATTTTTCAGCCGCCTACCGCTAGAACGTTTGATCTTACTCTATTTCTTCATATCAACAATCCTGTGTGTGTGTGTGTGTGTGTGTGTGTGTGTGTGTGTAGACCTGTCCTCCCCATGTGAGGTAGTGCGGGAAGTAGGGAGGCAGGGGAGGGAAGCTCTCATATTAATGGCTGCGGTTAACCTGAGAGGGTCAAACCCATTGGAGCTGCTGATGGATCTGGTCTGCAGGAGCTTTCTTGCTCCTAAACTCTCTCTCTCTCTCTCTCTCTCTCTCTCTCTCTCTCTCTCTCTCTCTCTCTCTCTCTCTCTCTCGTATCATATGCACAAACACACACACTTGTACATGTGTGTGCGGATGCATGACAATCAGTCACGGGTCCGAGTCACAACGTGACGGGGAGAGTAGGGCAGAGGTGACGCAGAGCTGGTGGAAAAAGGATGACGATATTAAAGAGCATTTTGGAGTTTTAGGTATAGGCATGTTTATCAGAGGCAGAGGAGGAAAAAATCCTGTTACTGGATGAGATGGAGCCACAAAACGTTTCAAGTTGGGTGAACTGGCCAAAAACTTAAATCTGGCCAAAATAGAAACAAAAATGCTGCTTTTTTCCTTTTTAATGACTCAATGACCGTGCTATTTGGGGTGACCTACAGTATACATCTGACTACAACTGGTCGACAAGTATAATACCATTAAAAATACTTTATATGGCTTGACTTCTCATTTACAAAATCTCTGGGCTTTCATCTAATTCAGTGTTTGTAAGGTCTTCCAACTGGCCCATCACAAACATGTCCTCATGCCTAAAAGACAAAAAAGGTTTATTTATCGTTTATCAATGCCTTCCAAAATGACCCCCTAGTGTACAGTTAAGATGCAGTTATGAGCCGATCCAACAAAAACTGGTTAAGGTTAGGGAAAGATCATGGTCGTAGCAGAAGGAAACAAATGTTAACTGTTGGTAGACATCATCCAAACCAGGGTCAAAGTTTCCTCAGAAACATCAGCAAAATTCACGAATGACATGACATGCAGTATATTAAAAGAAAAAACTTAATAAATGAGTGGAAATACATAACAAATGCAGATGCTTTCATACAGGACATGAGAGGTCTTTGAATGGTTTGATGAGAATGAAAATAATGTGAATCAAAACCTGGGAGAATGGAGAGAGTTCCTGTGACTACTGCAGGAGATTTGTGTTGGTTTTGCCTTTTAATTGTCACCCATTACTGACCTAGTTTTAGTTGTTGGTTATAAGATTTATTGGAAATATGCAAGAAAATTCCCTCCATTACAAATGTTTTCTGATGTCCAGCCTGTGAAGCCCACACAAAATGCTTGCAAATGGGTTATGGTCAGAGCTTGCCTATAAACACAAGATACTGTATGATTACAGGGTACAACAAACCAAGGGCAGTTTGTCACATATTGTAAGTGACAATGTATGGCAGTGAAAGCACAATAGTTTTGCTGTATTGCATTTGCAAGATCATCCAGCAGCTGACTACAAACAAATTGGTGCTTACATGTACACAGTTTAAGCATCAAGAGAAAGTATGAGCATCAAGTTGAACATCATGCAACAGGATTCAGCAACAGACAACAGAATAGGTCTGTATGTTATTTTACTGGGTAATCTCAGGCTGAAGTCCGCTTTGGTTGTTTGAATTGTTGGTTATAACATTTGAGAAATAAAGATGCAAGGACAAATCCAGCAACAGCAGAAACTTTCTAATGACACAAAATACACAGCTGCCCAAGGGGAAGCATTATGGATTTTTCTAACATGCCAATTCAATTTTCATCCGCAATAAGCGAACGGAAATGTGCAAAATATTCTATGTTTAATAGAAGATGTGTTAAGAGCCGAGTGAGAATTGCTGACAAGGGATGAAGAGACTGCTGCATGGATCGATAGGGGCCTACTGAAATTTAACAGAGAATTTCACATCATAATGTAATGAAATTGCAGCGAATACAACAAATGTCTGTGCTAAATAAGAGCAAGGAACACCTCACTGCAACATCAGGGAACACATCCAACACTGTTTCCATGGACACTTCAGGATCAAAGCCTCTATGTTATGATGCATGCAGATAACATACTTGAATGGCAGTAACCAGGAAGTACCCCAAGGAAACAAACTTGTTTCCAAACCGAAGCATCTGACACAAGTTACAGTCCTAATTGAATCAAGCCTACCGTTCCTATAGACAGGGTTTCCCTGAGATTCTATCCACCGCTGACTGTGATCTCAGAGCAAAACAAAGGGATGATGTCAGTAAGGAAACAGAGGAGAAAGAAGAAGACATGCTCCCAATTACATGACAGTATGATAGATTAAAGAACAAGTACTGCAAGTTTCAGGAGAAACATGTAGTGCTGGGCTCTCATGGAAATGGCTATTATTGATGAATGAAGAGATTAACTGTGTTTAATGAACTGACATGACTGTTTCCAGACTACAAAGGTGAAGCCTAATTTTGAATGGAGTTTAAAGGATAAGGTTGGTTATTCTGTCTATTTTTCTTGTTGTCAACTAAACCGATGTAAAGACCGAGTCGAACAAGGAATAATCCTTCTTACAAGTATAGCATGCCTCCATCCAAAGCCTGATATATCTTATTCCTCTGTGTCATAGAGCTCTATTGTTGTCCAAAAACTATTAAAAACACATCAGTGAGCCACACTGTTGTACTGGCTGACATGTTCCTTCATTACCTTTAACATGGGGACTGCAGTTTATTTTGAACTGATCCCACATAAACCACCTTGCCGTAAATTCTCACTAGAGCACCAAGTGTGTATTAATCCACGTCTGAATATAGTCCCCAACAGTCAGTTTGAGAATTGTTTGCTGAAAATGATGGGGGCCAGCCGTTTTAGGAAGTTACTGAACCAATTTTTAAATAAAATGAAATATCTGTGACCCAAGTTTTACATCCTCAGTAGGAACCAATGGGCTTGAGGCCGAGCACCAGATAGGGTAGGGAGGTCGGAAAGGAATAAGAGACGGGTCAACGTTGTTTTTTTGGACTTTTCATGGGTTTGTTGTAAGAAAATGCTAGAAAAACATTTTTCGGCAGTATAGTGCCAAAATAATTATTTAATTAATCAGTCATCGACAGAAGATAAGTGAACAGCTGTTAGAACTGATTGTGTATGTCATTTATCCAGCTTAAATGCTGCTTTTAGCTCCTTAAACCTAAGAATTTGTTGTTTTTCTGTATATTGAAAGTTTGGGGATTCTGGACTGTAGGTTTTGCACAAAACTAGCTTTCTAAAGACTTCACTTTGAAAGCCAGGAAGTTGTGGTGGATATTGTTAAGTATTTTTGACATTTTATAGACTGAACAATAATTATCCATTCAACTAACAATTTACTGTTCAATAAATAATGAAAAGGCTGTCAGTTGCAGGGTTGTAGTTATGTGCCATTGCTTGTAATGAAACAGTTTTACAAATGAAGACACTTACATTAGACAACAAAATATCTGCTGAATGTACGTGATTTTCTTGGAATAAATGTTTTTGGTAAATATATAATTTTTCATAAACGCATAACTACAATAAACTTTTAAAAGTGTATGATTTGAATAGTATTGAATAGGGTATTGCTGGTGTTATTCTACACTTTTCTTACTGTCAACTAATTCCACTAAAAGACTAAAAACCAACGCAGCATTATTCCACTTCTAACTAATTTTCCAAGTGAGTGTGGCACACAAGACCAATCCTCTTGGTTACTTGAATATGTTCATCTTTAAAAACAGGTCGCAAATTGAAACGTACAGTATTTTCCTTAAACAGGGATTTAGCAAATGTTTCTCACAGTAAATAGTGTTTTCGTTGGGGACTTTATTCAGCTGCAGATTAATACACACTTGGTGCACTAGTGAGTATTCACTTCAGAGTGGTGTACGTAGGATTCAGAATAAACTACAGCATGTGTTGCTGCGCGACAATGGAGCTCTATGACACAGAGGAATAAAACACATCAAGCTTTATCTGACAGACTAGACTTGGTTGTGGGGACAATTCATGGTGGTTTTGGTCTGTTCTGTTTGCTGACAATAAGAAAACAATAGAATTTTAACATTTACACCTGAAACACTGAAAAAGAAAAAAAGTACACTCGTGCTTGAATCAAGTGACATTCATTTATTATGCTTCCACCAGATAAATTTACAACACAAAACATTTTAAAATCTGCCTGCGTCGTGTACCTGTGATACAGAACAGAGGCAGACGACAGAGATTATAGAGCTTTGCTGCAAAGCACACAGACACATCAGTACGTCAAGTCAGTTTGTCTCCGCTGCTCATCTTCAGTCCTGAGCTGGAACGAGGGAGGAAGACGAAAGGGCGTAAGTAAAGAAAGCTTATTCACAGTGCTTAGAAATGCTGTAGTGGTTTGTGACCCCTCCCTCTGGATCCACAAGTACCCACACTGGGATCGAATCCCACTGGAGCCTGGAGTTTTTCTTGCTTCACCTCAGTAAACACAGAGGAATTCCTGACACCCATTAAAAAACAACAACAAAGAAAGCTTATTCACATCACAGCTCTCACCTCCAAAGATCATGAGGGTTCATCAACCATCTGGTCTGACCAGAGAGGACAACAGTTTCTGGACAGTAAAACAATGCACTGCACGTTACCCTGAAAGTCTGAATGATATGAATTTATTGCTTTTGTTAAGCTCCACGAAGGTCTAGACCATCTCCACCTTTCAGAAAAGTGTCTTTGACCACTTCTCTAGGTATTTTAATGATAGTGCCTCCTGTAGATCCGCCTCAGATCAGACACACAGCTGACTGTCTGTCACACAACACTATGGCTTTTAAATTTTGTTTCAGCTTATTGACTTTTTAGAATATGGAGAGAAAATCCTGACACATTTTACATACTTTATTCGACCCTATTTTCTTGCCTCATATATACATATAAAGCTTTTATATTTATATATATATAGTTACATATTATGCAGATCTAAAAGAAAGAGCAGTATGATTGTGAAATTGGCCCTATCACTGCAGAGCTGATTTTCATTCACAACAACAAATAAGTGACACCTAGGTTGCAGATGACAGAAAATGTTGTTGGATCTGTAATGTGAGTGACAAACAGCTTGTTTTGAATATGATTTCAGACTCTTTGGGCAATTCCCACTCTTTGTAAAAACTGGAAATTCTAAAAAAAAAAATTTCCATACATTATCCAGATTTTCCAGACATGCACATAGATGATCTGATCACATGGCCCACGAGATGTTGGCTGTGTGCTCCTTGGCCTTCATGCGCAGCACGGCGATGCTGGACGAGCGCCTCTCGAACTCCGGCTTGGTCTCAAAGGCATGGTGACCATTGGTGGCCGGCGTGAGGAGGGAGTCTGCACTGAAGAAGTTGTTGAGGGAGACATGGCCAAACTGGTTCTGCTGATTGGGGAAGCCAACGTAGCCGTGGTCGGTGGCACCGGCCGCCGAACGAGGGGAGTGCGAGTAGGAAGTGACGCAGGGAGGGGAGCCTCGGGGCAGCATGCAGGAGGAGACCATAGAGCCACCGGGAGACGGGCTAGGCCACAGGTTGTTGGGAATCTGTTGGGTAAAAGAAGCTTTTAGATACTGGGGCAAATTAATTTAATTTCACAAGGGTCTACTGGAGCGCATACTACAATTAAAATTACTTTTAATTGGATAATTTAGCAAATACAAAGATTTCAACTACATAGAAGTACTATGTATGACTCATACATTTTCAAACTTTACACATATATGTACATAATAACACTGGAAACACTTCATGCTAAGACACCTGAACCACTCACTTATGAAGACAACGAAATGTAGTTTAAACCTCAGAAAAAGTTGAGAGTATTTTGTCACACAGTACAGATCTACTTTATAGGAATGTTTAGGTCCTGCTGCATCAAAATAAATCTCTACAGAAATACCACTGTAGCTACAGAGCTATAAAATAATGCTCAGGTGAAGGGGGAGTTTGGTCAATGATAAGATAAGATAATGATGAGTTGTACATGCAATGCAGTTGTTTAAGTAATATTATGGTCAGTGTTTAAATAAGTGGGCAAAAATGCAAATTTCTTACATATGCAGGGAAAACTATAAAGCGCTCTTTCACCTATATTACCAAAAAACAAAAAAAACATATTATTTGTGCAGGTTTTGAGTTATCTGTCTGTCCATTAAAAAATGCATTCACCTTTAATTGCATTAGGGTGAAGGCAGAAATTTCAGAGACAGAAAAAATCTAAACCTGGACAAGTAAACCAAAACTTTCAGCACGGCTAGATAACAATAGAAGTAAGTGAGAAGACATATTTTTGAGGTGGAGTGACTGTTTAAGGGTCCAAACAATTCTAAAGACACTGGGTGTTTTGTGTTTTTGAGAGAGTTTTCATCATGAAAACGTCATGTAGCCTCCGGTGGCTTTTGATTGTTATTAATATTAAATGACAACAGGCAGGACAGAGAGAACAAAAAGGACATAAAGGAGACGTAATCCCATCATGGTCAGGATACACGCTCCAGTCCACAGAGCTGCATGTCAGTCTTTAACGTAAAATGCAGACTGAGCTGACAGTTCGATCACATTACGTCACCGATCTGGACTTCATCTACTCTGAGGCTTTTCATTTGGTCTTATTTTCCAAGATTTCAATCAAACTTAGAAGACAAGCCAGCGTAAGTAAGTAGCATGTAACAGCATGCAAATTCATTTAATCCTATTTGGTAAAAATAAATAAAAAAATGTGCCACTGTAGCTTTCTTCCCCTCAACATAAATTCCAACTGATATTTCTATAAAAATAAAAACTAATAAATACACAAAAATAGTTATATTAGATATTTGACATCAATAAACAAATATATCTGCAGCAACTGTAAAAAGTGCATACGCTGAAGCAACTGTCCAACACCTTTTGACAAGGAGAAATTCAGAACAAATACTACAAACAAAAAGGGGTTTGCTAAAGAATAACACTTTGACAGTTAGATAAACTTATTTTGTGGCACAAGAAAATGGTCATAGCCTGAGAATCAGCTTGGCCAACATGTTCCTGTCAACAAGTCAACAAGTCCCTGCCCAAAAAGCAAGCGTATTCACCCAAACCTCATAGCTAATAAAACAAAACCAACTGTTAAAAACCCACAAGAATGCAAACCTTGTCCACTGTGTTTAGAGAGACACAACCACACCTACTGCCAGCATAGTAACATGTAGGACAGTCCATTTAATGTCAGTAATCTGCAATAGCTGCAAGAGAGGGTATGGCTGGTATCCAGGGGTATCTATCAGAGACATGTGTGAGGAAAATATGAGACAGTCCAATGGATTTCTGACCTGGTCTTTGGCCAGGGCATAGCAAAGCTGTGACTCTGGCTTTTTTCTGCTTGTTTTTAAAAATTCTGCCTCTTTGAATTCAACACATATGCTGCTTTCTGTGACCCTAAAATGTCAACACACACTGCTCTGAGGAGCTGCTGCCTGCATATTTCCATCCCCAAAAAAATCTCTACAACAGCTCTACAACACTTGGAGGCCTAATCTCAGTTTCTTCTAGAGAATCCACAGGACTAACTGACATTATGCTTCTCCTCTCACCTCATCTTGTACCTGACCTCTGTCCGAACAGCAAGATGAATGCTCAGCTAACATGAAATCTGATATAAGGCCATCAATTCCGCCCTGACACCTCACAGAGGCTCTAATCAGTGTTCGGCCTGTTATCTAAAGATGGGTTTCATAATAAGTGATTAATAGAGCAGCAATGACACGCACTGATTTATGCAGATAAAACATGAACTCGTTGTGATGGAATATTGTAGAACTTAGATAAAAGAAAAAGGAAGACCACAGGCCGCTGGGAGAATTACGCACCACCGGCGTCCTATACAGCCTACACGCAGTATGCTTTTGACAAACAGATTCAAATTCGCATCAGAGGGTTAATAAAAACGTTGGAAAAACACAACTTGCCTGTGTGTAGCTGTCGGTCCTCGGTAACACTGATAAATCGTAGGTCGCCGCAAAGTGAGTTTTGGCTTGTTGGATCTGCCCGTAGCGCTCTCTTTTCCTCCACTTTGCTCTTCTGTTCTGAAACCACACCTGATTGATAAAAATTTTAAAAAGAGAGAGAGAGAGAGAAATTCAAATAAAATGAAACAAAAGAAAATCAATTAAAATAATGTGACTTTGCCACAAATTATCCCATGACGTTGGCGTACAAAGGACGTCGAACCAAAACAATCTGTATAAAAAATAAAAAATAAAGAGCTCCACTCGTTTTAAATAGAAATAAATTCTCCAGCACTAGTTTGGTAAAAAAAAAAAAAAAAAAATACAATCAACCTTACTTTTAATTACTACACGTATTTTATGGTTTGTTATATGAGCTACATTAATGGATTTAGAGTGTGCGCATAGCTTCGTACATTGCTCCACATTTAAGCTGTTTTATCGGCTTAAAGTCTTTCTTTCTTTATTTTATGGTTTCTTCTCCACAAGTGAAAGTTAACAAAATAAGAGTCTGGTGATAAACTGTACCTGCACTCTGGCCTCTGTTAATTCTGTCCTCATGGCCAGCTGTTCCCTCACATAAACATCTGGATAGTGAGTTTTCTGAAAGACTTTCTCCAGCTCCTCCAGCTGCGCGCTGGTGAAGGTCGTCCGGTGTCTCCTCTTCTTGCTGCTGGACACGTTGCTGTCGCACTTGTCTCCCATGTCGTCCAAATCCGTTTTCTCCTGTCCGGTTGTCACCGGAGACGCCCGCAGAGTGCAACAATTGTCCATCGACCTCCCGAGGTCCGAGTGCAAAGTATCTTCGTCTGTTTTTGGCACACCGTAATTGCCTAAAAATGAAGAAGTGATAAATTATTAATAATTTAATATATTTTTAATGCCATTACATTGTAACTGCAACTTAAGGCATTACAAATAAATCTGGATGATACGCATTCTTACCCCGTTAATAAGAAATATCCAAATTAAAGGTCAACTTTGATCCTTTATGCGTTTCATACTAAAACTTTCTACGTCGATTTAAGCACGGATTTTCTTTTTTATGGCGAAAACATCGTCAAAATAACTAAACGCCATGAATGAAACATCAGAAAAGTTTTAGACAAAAGAAAAAAAGAAACGATTGGATCTTAATTTCCTTCAGCTTTCTCTCCGTAAAGCCGCGCACAGACTCAGACCGACTCCAAAACTGCAGCCTTGACGCACAAAAAGTTACAAAAACAAGCTTTTACGCACCGTTTTGGTCTCCGCAGGGCGAGGAGCGATGTTCGCCGCTCTGAAGCCCGAAGGCCTGCACACATTTCGGGGAAGACTTGGTGAAGTACTGCGCGCTGTCCAGGCTCTCCATGACTTGGTCCATGTAGTAATCGCTGGCCTTCATCGCTTGGCTTTTCAACGCAAACTTATCCTCCATATACTCCATCATCTCAACCAAAAAACCCGCTCACTTTAATCAAATGTCACCATAAAAAAAAAAAAAAAAGAAGCTAATGGCACGTCGCGCACCGATGAGCGGAGCAATGCCTTGTAATGCAATAATTCGCCAATGGAGTTAATTTGCTGTGTCTTGAAGGCACAACGTCTTTATAGCCCCAAAGAGAATGAAATCCTTAAAGAGCCCCCCTCCTCTCTGAATATGAAACAGCACCCAACTCCTCCCACGACCCGAATCCAAACCAAACAGCAGTTTAAAGTGATTCTAGACCCACAACGACACTGAGAGGAAACAATCAAAAGTGACTTTAATTTACAACATGTTTAGACATCCAGAATGAGGCAATAATTTATCTGCAGTGACAAGTTGTGACTGCAAATGGGATTTAATCTGAGTCTTTGGATACTCAAGGTCGCTCTGCTGCTCATTCATTTCGTCTTTGGGGCAGTTTAACCTGTATGGTACCGGGGGAAAGTGAACAGCAAATTAAATAAATTCACTTTAAAGATCTATGGGAAATAAACATCTATTTATTTTATTTTATTGTAATTATTATTCTGTGAACATTTTGTTGGACAAACTGGTTGGTGATCATGTTGCCTGTTTTTTTTAATAATCAGGCCCTGCCAAATGTGTCTATGAAGGCGTTGTGTCATTAATTTAACATTTATAAATCTGTATAGGAAAGCGAATATATTCTTTTTTTAATGTTTAAATAATAAAACGTAGGACGAGAAATATTTTTGTTAGTTCAATAAAAGTTGATTCTACCGAAAATATGTGCTTAGCGCTTTTTATAAAAAATAATGCTCCAAATTAGTTTTTATTTTTATTATTTTCTTTTTTTCATTTTTAAGAAATGGCAGTCCTAAATTACACAGTACAGTCGGTATTATACGCAGGCTTCAGACTTCAGACGTAGAGCAGAAAGATTTTAATTAAGGTATTTTAATGAAGTCCTGACATTTTAATAATCAGTAGGCCTACAGTAAAGTGCACAGTACTTCCACACAATACTAATATTCATAAGTTCAGAGGTTTCAAACTGAAATCTAATTTTCGTTAACGTTCAATACGACCTAAAAATGAATTTCATTGCGACTTCCGAAGAAGAACTTGATGAAAATATTTAGTTCTTTATTCTGACATCTTTTCTTTACTGTGAATCTACTAACGACGTTCGATAGTTTGGCGCATATTTATCCACGAACTGCAGTTCATATTCTCTATTAAATTCACGCTTTGGGTCAGATGTTTGCAAAATGAATAATACAATTTTGCTATGAGAAGTTGAGTAATTATTCAAAAGAAAGAAAAAAAAAGCGACAAAAGCAGTTCAACTGAACAAGACCACAACTGCTCACTGAACAACCGCATATTCCTCTGAACTTTAAAAAATATCGCCTAATATCAATAACATCACATTAGGATTCATATTTGACATTCAAAAGTCCTGTAAATGAATTATTGGCCCCTTTCTTGTCTGAATTAAAGACCAAACATCCTCCTTATGCAGGAAAGTTGGGTTTCATTGAACCCAGCAGCCCTCAGGAGCAGGCGCAGGGCTCAACAGGGGAGGTTTGAAGAAAAAAAGGACAGGAAGAGCGGGTCTTCTATTTCTTCTTATTGGAGGAATTATGTTACCGCTAACCAAAGCCTATCTCCCAGCTCCACATCTCCACCCAGAGCCACACCACCTGCAAGGCACACCATGCCTGTAGCTTTGGTTCACTCCAGGGTCAGTGGCAGTTACCTGGAGCTTCAAGGTGCCACAGGAGAAAAAATAAAAATAAACAGAGGTGCTCTTAAGTAGCAGGGGGGTGTCTTATTGGGCTTCTAAGATGACCTTGCACACCTGCTCATGCTGAGGAGAAAATGTGAAAAGTTCACTGTGGTTTGGTGGGCCTTTCGGATTTAGAAATCCCTGCCACGATAGATGCTGCTCGGGGTTTGTGAAGTTGGAGGGCTTGGTCCCCTTTAGGCCGATCAGTCAGACTAATTCTTTAAGTGCTGCAGCCAATATGTCATGTGAGCCACCTGGAAAGACCTACACCTTCACTTTTAATAAAAACATGTACTGCCAGTTTGTTATAACACTATGTAGCACTCATCGTGGTCAAAATATGATTGGACTGAACTAATTATCATTCATTTCAGTCTTATGGTGACTGATCGCAGTCCAATACAACCAGTGAGAGGCCAAAATGTGCCACTTCAGAAGGCAGGAACATGACATCATGATGCCTAAAGCCACCCTAGGGTCTAATTCAATCTATTGAAATGTCTTCAAACTTTGGCTAGCCACGAAACACAAAAACGGCCAGAGTTTATTTTCCCCAAAAGCACAAATTTTGTGGGGCTTATAAATGTCATTTGAGCCTGCAGAGCGTTTGGCTCGTGAAGCCGAATATCAAAAAGTGAAAGCAGCTCATTCGTGCTTTAAAAGTTTGTTTTCATTTTGTTTGTTTGTCTTTGTTTTTTCCAGGAGTCAGGCATTCCTGAGCACTGACAAACTTTAGCTCTCAGTCACATGACTAAGTCATCTGGGTTCAAGTCAACATGTTATACAAGTCAGCTATGACTGAAACCAGAACTAACCCACCAGCAAGGTTGGTCAGACCAAGTCCAGATGCTGCGATACAAGGCGAAATTTTTATAACAATGCAATCATAAGAGGATTTTTCTCATATAACCAATTTAACCCAACTTTACAGAATGAATAATAACAGATAGTGTTCAACACACAACAATCAAGGAAGACAAGGTGAGCCAACACATGATTTGAAATAACCACTAAATTGTTTTCTTAATGTCTTGCATTTTAAAATAAACAACAGATTTAGTTCTTAACCAAAAAAAAAAAAACAGCTAGGAGCCTCTATGACTGGCTGGTTTTAGCGTTGACATTTTTCATTTTAATATTCATTTCATTTGAAAGCTCAAATTAGTCTAAATAACATTCATCAAGAGATGCACAAACACATAAAGTACCAACAGCTACAATGTCATACACAGAAATATAAACAATTTATTTTATGATAACTATTGAGTCAAGTAGCAAAAAGAAATGTTGTTTATCACTCAGAAACCAACTACACAAACCTGGAGGTTGTTTCTCCAGATACAACAGACTAAAATAAATTATGCTACTGATCAATTCTTTTCTCGCAGCTCTCATTGCAATACAAAAATATGATACAATATCAAATGATCAGACTTTATTATAAACACACAGTATGGATTGTCATAAAAAGATTTGAGTGTGTGCATATAAACATGCACTTCATGATCCATTTCATAATGTAAATTCAAATTCTTCTTGTTTCATGTATAAATTATATGTGTCTAGAACAGTAGTTTTCACCAAAGACTTGTGTTCATATCAGTGCAAAACAGCCTCACTCAGCATCACATTTTTTTTATTTACAAATACCAAAATTCAATTTTACAAACAACCATACCAAAATAATTGAAGAATTCGTCCGAAACTTTGTAAAATTGCATCGAAGCAGCAACAAACCCATTTAAACTAAACTAAAAATTAGATAATGGAACTATAAAGTCCATACAAAGTACTGACAGTGAATAATAAAACATTCAGAACCTTTTGTTTAATTGTACATCATAACAATAACGTATGTTTGTCCCACACCAGCGTGACTCAGCACACCGTTTGGGAAGGACTGGTCTAGAAGCACATAGACACATGATGCATGGACATGTACATATGAATGCAATTACTTAAATGTCCTGTCTTTGTCAGAATTACCAGAGACAAACTCTGTAACATCTGACAAATGTATGTGAGTCTGTTCTACCTTAAGCTCAGTTTACAAATGTTTTAATAATCATTACATTTCTCTAAACCTGAAGGAGTGATTTTTTTTTCAAGGCTCGCTACCCGTGACATCAGTCCTGCCCTCGGCTGTGTGAAAAGAGTGACTCTGACCTATTTTCATCTAAGCGATGTTATAAGCCAGCAGTTGTCATTCAGGGAATAAATTAGCTTTGACTTTTACCAGCAGAATACTTTCTGCTTGTGTGAGTTTATTCCCAATTTCTTTATAAGCTGGGTTCACATTTCCAGGAGAGCTTGCGCATTCCTCAGAGTTTATACCCATTTCCCATTTCTTTACTTTGGCGAAAGGAGCTGGCTAATTGTGTCATGAGACAGAAATAAATAAGAAAAGAACCTCTCTAATGTAATTTTTCTGTACTGGTAAGTGTTTGTGGGATTTGAAGTTAATGTTATTTTACATTCTGAAATATTTCCAGAGACTCAGTAAAGCCATATATCTCTTACTATTTACTGAAATAATAAATATAACAGCACATTGTTAGAACTTTCAATCAGCTTTACTCCTTCTACAGTACAACATTTCAGTTATCGTGTCATGCTGCTTTGCACACACGCTGCAGAGTGTGTATTGTATGTCCTGACTGTCGTCGTCACAACATGCCTCAGAATTGTGCCATCAGTATTTTCTTTTGCTTTTTTATACTTCCCATCACGACTAATCATTTTGCAAGCCACATTGTTTTTTTTAGAAATGATATTATACAACAACTAGCTTCCATTAATTTACAAATGATACTGAATTAAAATCAATTAGCCTGTGTGAATCTTTGTCAAAGTTAAAACCTTTCTGCATTCAATAAAGTGCATTATCATGCAATAATAATATAACAGTAACAAAAAATGTATGCTCTCTGATTAACTCAAGCTACTTTCATACTTTGGATTAATGGAAACCAATGGCTGCCTGGAATTGTTTATAAAAATGCCCCAAAAAAATCTGAAAATGTGCTGCATGCATTCAAAAAAGGTCAGCAAAGATGTACAATATATATAATAATGTGTAGCTAAAACTTGCAAGCACACTGTTCAAAGTCCTTCAACACATTCTAAGAAAAAGGCACTTTGGAGGGATTCAGATACAAAACTTCTCTCTGCCAGACTCCATCTGACAACATTTGCTGACTTGAGGTCAGGCTGGCAGGGCCCTCTGGACTGAGAGGGACATTCTTCATCTTATCTAAATGTGTGGTGAAGCACTCATTTCACCAGGCAATGGATTTTGGATGTCTTAGGTTACATATAATTTACCCATAACCCAAACGTAAACAGATGTAATGAAGGCTGGTGGACGATGGCTTAACAATATCATTTCAGAAACAGTATTTGAAGGGAAGAATTCTGAAAACCTGGATAAATCTGAACTTGTGTCAAACAACACTTGTGACTTTATGCATATACAATACTGTCACCTGTCTGTTCATATTGTATGTGCAATATAAATTCTCCCTGGTATCACAGCTGTGTAGTGACAGTTCGATGACAGAGAAACAACCCCCTGGTGTCCCCAGAGAGCCTGAAGAATCGGTCTCCCCCTTAAGGAGGACCCTGCACTTGAGTTTCATAACAACCCCCAAGTGGGCAGGACCACCACATCTCTGGCATACGCCACTCTCCAAGACCAAAATCCCCATCAGCTCATGTACAGTCAAAACACGCCCTCCAGAAATGCGTTAAGTGAAAGATAGACGGAAAATAAATAGACAGACATGCATTTCCTGCCAGGGAGCCACTCTGCAGCTCTGACTATTTGTTTTGACATTCATTAAGTTATCATTTCCAGGCGGCGGACCAGCGAGGAACCTCCAAGCACACAAGAGGTTCACCGCCTCCGGTAGGGCAGTGTTTGCGGACAGACGCCTTAGCTCTCCAAATTCAAATACACAGACAAGACCATTATAATCCACGACTGAAAATAAAGAAAACATCGTTCTAATTCTAACACCAATGTTTGTGCTCAGTTCATACAAGCAGTAATTTCAAGCCCACTGTTGGCAAGCAGGAGCTAAATATAGCCACAGAATGGGGAAATTGCACTTAAATCTCTGGGCTTTATTAAAGTTTACTCTTAAGAGGGCACAGCAGAAGTGGAAAAAGAAAGTCTCTTCCCATGGCTACAAACTATAATTACTATATTTTCTGTCAAGAGAGTAAATCAGCTCAGAAACAAGAGTTTAGTATCTTAAGAAAGATGAATCCACAGGTATTAAAAGGTCCTGGTTCTTATTTCCTGCCTTCATTTGCATATGAAGCGTGTAATTTGCTGAAGGTTTGTGATTTTGTTCCATGTGTTTTGGTGCTGGTTGGCTGCGATCACGTTCAGGCAGTGACACTTGAGCAGAATCAACATAATAGAAATGCCTGAAGATATTTGGGCTGGTCCAGGTCCTATTGGTCTTAATTAATTTTCAGGAGAGGGAGCTCGAGTTTTCGGCTCAGTTTAAAAAGAACAGCTGCAGGAGGATTCGGTGCAGGCGATGGAATAGAATCATAAATAAAAGCAAAGGAAGTCTTCTGCATGGAAATAAAAAAAATAGTCTTGTGAAACTGAAATTTATTGTATTGTTTAAATCTTGGGGAAAATATGTCAAGACCGCAACCCACAATTATCAGCAGGATGATGATGCATCCAAAGGAAGCATAGTATTTGCAGTCTTGAACAAGATGCACACATAATTTGAAAATGCTGCATTCTTTGTAAGGTATCAAAAGAGGGACACATACAAAAAGTATGTGCCTTTAAGTTGCTCTGGGTGTTGGCTAAGGACAGCAACAGAGGTGATGTCGTGGCTCAAAAGTTTGTATTTTACTTATACACTCTGTCCCTCTTCTTGCCCCCTCCCCAGCCGCCGCTCAACTGGACAGGGTTGTCTCGGTATGAGATGCGCTCCTTTTTTGACGGAGCAGACGTGACTCGCTTGGGAGAAGGAATCTCTGCTCCTGGAGACATAGAAGGAAAATGCATCAAAATCTCATACGTAAATCGAGCAGTGTGAAATCAATCCATCATAGACATCAAATGGTAATTCATATAATTTGTGCAATTTAAATAACGTATTTGATGCCAAGCACTCTTTCCCGGAAGGACTACCCATGTATTCCAAAACAAACTGTTGTTGCAGCTGAATGGGATCAATTCTTTTGCACCTGTCGTGGAATTTATGAAAATTTCAACTTTCTACCACAAACATGGAGTACAGGACGTAATCCGTACCATGTAAGTTTGATTTTGTGAAATATAAACAATCCACCAGAGCACCTTTGTGGTAAATGAAACATATAAATAGGAAATTGTCTCCTGTAGTTGCTCTCATTATTTGCTAACCAGCCAAAAAATAAATAATATAAATATTCCCATTTATCAAAGCATTAGTTGGAGAACATTATTTCATGTTGGTAACTAAATAGAAGCTTTTCTACTTATTTCAAGGAAACAGAGATTGCTGCCTAACAACCTAACAACAAGGAAATAAAAAAGTAACATTAGGAAATATAAAAGCTGTCATGAATGACATAAAGGTTGACTTTTATTTTTTTGTATTAAGTGATAACAAGTAGGCTTTTATACTGAAACTTTACCATAAAACACAATTATAACTCTAGGTTGATAACACCATAATAAATCTCAGTGTGAAGACTTCAATCTGAGCAGGTAAGTGTGGTGTTTGTGTGCTCTGTCTCCCAGGAGCACTGTGAGCTGTATCAGAGGCCCTTCCATTTCATCTGGGGATCAGTACAAAGCTTTTCAAACACACAGAACAAAGGCAGCGCTTCTACCGGGCATGATGCATTCCACGTGTAGAGCCAGGCCCGCGGTCTCCACGGCCACCCCACACAGGGAGCCAAACAGCGGGGGAGGGCTCTGGAGGAGGTGGGGGGCCTGGGACGCATTGCAGGTACTGACCCTAGCTCCAAATGTCTGCACAGCTAGCACACTGTATAGAATATCCATCCACTCACAAGTCATACCTAATCCTAGTTTTTGTTTTAAATCATGTCCACAATGTAACGCTGTGATTTTCCTCTCCTCAAGGTGTGTGTAATGTAGTTTAAAGATAACCCACCACAGTCTCTTGTGTTTATTTTCAAAAATTTTAGGCCAGATTTGGTGGCTGTATTTAGTTTATTAAAGACTTTAGACCCATTATCTGTTCTAAATCGAAAACAGAAAGCAAAACATGACGCACATGTTGCTAATCCCAACGCAAGTTGTGCAGTCATGCTATTAAATGTAAAGAGATAAACAAATGGCCACACATTTGACCCAACCGCTGTGACCAAACTAATTGTTTTCGATCATTTAACTCCTATTAGGGTTGCCCAACGGACAAAATTGAAGGAGCAGATATGCAACTTAAGTGGTTTCCTCTGCACACGTAATGAAAATATTTTGCGAGCCTGGAAACGCATTTTATGGCACCGTCCCAGCAAGTGGTAAGTATCACATTGCAATAGGTTATAGAGTAGGTTATAGAGTATTTATGTAGTCTTTACTGCTATGGCAAACTAAGTGAACCCTCCCACTTTAAACCTTCACTTTGATGTGCCACTTCAGTGGCAAAGGATATACAACTTTTTGATAAATGAAGTGGTTTTTTTTGTTTTGTTACGCTCATTCTTTTCCTTCCTCGTCTGGGCTGACTATAAACAGCAGTCTTATTTTCCTGATTTCACCCAAGTAACATTTCCTCTGATATGATGAGTTTTTGATGATGTAGCACTGAGACCATTAGATGCCCTTTCCAAGTTTATCAATTATCTAATTGGCTTTTTGAGAAATGCTCTTGCCTTACACATACATTCATATTTCAATTTGCCCTAGACAATTTCAGTAAGTGGTGTTTTCATCAGTCCAGACAAAGAGGCTTTCTTTCTCCCGGCCGTACTCCTGGGGAGAACAACAGTCTGCCTGCTTAGCACGACAACACTCGCTCCTGCTGCTGCTGCACCTCGTGGAAATCATTTTGAAATCATCATCGGAATCCAATTTGGCTTCGTTATCAGGGACAGGGCTCTCCTTCACTTGGATTCCTGGGCTTGTTTAATGTAGTCATCTGCTTTCAGCCTGTCAGTAGCATCTTTGTCATTCAAACTCCTGAGCCCCACTTTCCTGACAGAAGGGCCAGTCATTCTTCACTGAAAGGACTGATTTTTTTTTTCTTTCTGCCAGTTTCCTGTCAGAGGAGAAATTCACGGCACTCTGTCCCCGGCCCGACCTTGTGGCTCCCCTCCCCTCCCGAAGCAGCCGACCAGCGGACTCAGTCTGGGCTGAATAAGCAGCAGCCTTTATCCCTGGCTCGCACTCAGGTCTGTGTGACCCGAGACCCATGGGTGCAAGTGTGAAAACATAGAAACATCTGTACACATGTGCTGAATGTACAGGTATATACACACACGTGCATACAAAAATGCATACAATCACATCCATCAGTACAAACATACAGCAATACTGATATATGTGTCAGTTTTGTATAAAGTTGATACTGTGTTTTTGCTTGTGTTTATAATTCCTTTCGACTTGAATGCATCAAATTAGTATTTTTTTACTGCTCAGTTTCTGTCACTGCAAACATTTTTATAAATTCAGCTCAGCTTAATAATACGGGCCATAAAAATACATCAGCATAACATATACTGAATATGGTATATAACCTTTTATATATATATATATATATATATATATATATATATATATACATATATATATATAGTATCTATCTGTCTATCATAAATACACTATGTCTGTATGTATACAGGGACAGATCTAGAGGGGTGGCATGGGATGGTAAACAATGTATTGATTTCTAATTCCACCTTTAAATATTTCTGGTTCACTAATGTGCCACAATAATGTAATGTTTTTGAGTTAAATATCAAAATTTTAGGGCTTTTCCAAGCAAATATTGTTATAGGTGATTGTTTGCGATTCAACCAGCGTATATTTCTGCCACCATTTAAAGTCTCCCTGACACCCTCTGGCCACCCCGAATCAAAAATGTCTATAGATCTGTCCCTGTATATGTTTATATGTATAAAATATTATATATATTAATTGATTTCCATTGTTCAGAGTGAATCAGCCTTACTAGGAAAGCTCTGTAAATAAAATGTAGCTAATAAATGTCTCTATTAGCATTTAGCTGGATTAATTACCAGTTATTGTGAAAACAGTCAGTGACACAAATCACTCAAAGCTGAGTCTTTGTTTAGAGTGTATTAAAACATTTCTGAATATTTTTTCAGATTCTGTTCAAAGCTCTGATAAAAACTACAAGTAACAGAGTGATTTGGGGTAGAAAAACGTCTGTGAAGTTCACAAGACTCACTTGCATGACCCAAAGAGTTTCTGCGGGGATAATTGTTCTCTTCGCAAGGCTGGGCAGCTAAACTGCTGTTGGCCCACAATCCACTGGCGTGATGTAGACGTTGTGTGTATCCTGGGTCCGCCTGCACGCACCACACACAGAAAACACACACACACACACACACACACACACACACACACACACATAAATGAGGCCCAACATGACACGTCTCACGCAAGCAGTCCAGCATTTTGAAAAACATTCAACAACCAGCAGCTCTGCAGTCTGAACATATGTAAGGAACAGGAGGAAGAGGGCGGCTCCTCTTGCCAGTGATCATAACTCAAACTGCTCTATAACGGCACAGGGAGACCTGCAGTTTCTGACTTCAAAGACCTCACGAGCATCAGTATCGTTCTCGGGCCCAGGCAAACTGCTCCAAAGTGACAGTGGGATTTCTGCAAGTAAAATGAAGAAATTGCAGCCAGTTGATCCAATTGAAAGTGTCACAGTGGAGCTAAACCTCAGACTCGCCTCCCCCGTGCTTCCTTTAAATCGAAGCTGATGAGACAGGCTCCAGGGGAGGGAGCCTACAGTGCGGGACGTGACTCTGACTGGGGAACATAAATACTGCATACCTCCATATACATGCAACCGCCCCCCCAGAAAAGATTAAAATCAAGATTCACTGTCATTCTATGAAGTGAATGAAGTGCAGGCGAAAACAGGAGGGGAGTGTACTCACCACAAGCTGCACTCTGCCTCCATTCAGAATGTCTGAGTTGATCTCCGGTAAGAAATGCACACTAAGGATAAGATAACAAAAAAAAAACTCAAACATTCTGCCTGTTAGCACTATGTGAATTTCGAATCAATTCACCAGTTTCCCCTCTTCACTTCAATGCAATTATCTCTGACATATCATACAATAAACACAGATGCCATGTATGATAATCTTAATGTCTATTTGTTAGGTAGGGGTGCAGCACGGGCGTACATGCTCACCCTGTTACAGACAGTCTGTTGGTATGTGTTTCAATATACAGCGGGTACTGTATACTGAAGTGTAAGCCCGCCGGCATAAAAAAAAAAGAATCAGTTCTGCTTGGATGTTTGACCATCACTGTGGAGAATAATTTATGTGCAGAGTTTAACACTACAAGTCTGTTTTCAAATGTATCGGCCAAAGGGGGAACGTTTCTCTGTGTTCCCCTTTATGACGCATACACAGCTATTTTGAAAGCCAATCGTGGTCCAATACGCAACATTTCGATATTATCTCGATACACATAGACTTTTTAAGAGATATGCTGTGTCTAGTAGTTCAACTTTTGAAATGAAAAACATTTGCATATTCATAGATTCTGAATTATTCAGTGAGGGAGGAGGGAGAGGAAAAACAGATCAGACACAAATTATTATTCCAAGCAGAATATTTTTATGTATTAAAACAGGTCTCTAGGGGTCCTTAAGAAACTATGCCAACAATGATAGCAGTTTGTTAAAGGAGCAGTTTATCCAAATTACATATTACCTCTAGTGATATCTAGCCATGCAAATAGTTTTGGCTTTTTTGTCCAGGTGAGATATCCGTCTCTGACATTTCTGCTCTCTCTCCAAAACAGCAGGAGTGAATTTTTGGTGCTTATTGCATTGAAATGTTTCATTTAAAAAAAATATGCACGCAAGATGTCTTTCCAGAAACAATTACACCAGATAATCCACATACCTCACTGTGAAACCACAGAGACAGATATTTCACAACCTGAACAAATGCAAGCTAAACTTTAAAAGCAATTTTAGCAGCATAACACACTATCTACACCACCTTATGGCCCACATGAAGTGCCTCACCTCTCTGAGTCCCTGTCAGAGTGAGCAGGTTGGGTGTGCAGCCACTGCTGAGCTCGTTCCTGCTTAACTTGCTCCCTCTCTGCCGGGTGAAGGACCAGCTCCGCTTCGCGAACTGCACTCAAAAGAAAACATCAAATAAACATCACACAAGATTTTTCCTTTTAGTTAAGCAACGTTCTTGATGACAATGGTAGCAAAGAATGAGTGTGTTGCCTAATCAGCAAAAGCTGGGGTGAAGGTGGCATATTTCTAAATGACAAGTGGTGTAATCAATACTACAGTGAAGGACTTGGGTTAACACATGCTCACCAAAGTACAAGCTTAACAAATAAACAGCTCATGCGCCTGACCTGTAGCAACATTTGACAAGTTTTACTGTAATTACAGCTGGTCGGGGTTCCCAGTGCTGGGAGAGATCATTGGTCAAAGCTCCCAGTGTTTATGTTTGTGCTTAAGGTGGTGTATTTGTTTGGAGGAGTCAGGGGCATTACTATAATACATTTAACGTTGCTGAAAGATGCAACAGGAGAGGATCTGCTTTTCTCCAACAATTGTTGAGGCTTGTGGTTCTTTGTAAAATTGAATCGCACAGTTTGTTAAAGAAAAAAATCTGAAAGGCTGCTGATTTACGAGTTATGCTGAAATCCCATAATAAGGTCGTAATTCAAAGTAAACATTTATGTTGCGCTGACAGAGTAATGCTGCCGTAGATGGGTGTAAACTGATAATGAATTTTGACAGCCCAATGCTGGAACTAATGATGCATTTATTTAAGCCATTTACTTGCTTTTGCTGAGCTGTAAAAAGGAGAAAAAAAGAGCTTTACAGTTTTCATGGGCTAATTGAGAAGCCCCACTAAAAATGTCAAGTGATAGATGCTTCCCCTCGGGGCAGCAAAGGCCAGGAAACGGCTACTCGCACTTCCCAAAGCTGAAAATACACAAAGAGAGAGGGCACAGGCAGTCCAGAAAAACCTTCAGAGAAATGTTTTTTAAAGAGCAACTTGCTTATGTACTGTACGTATTGTAGCATTGTGTTCTGTACTAACTGTTCACAGTTTTTGTATATGTCATTGATATTAGAAGATTCTATATGGATAGATCAAAAGTTGCTAAGAAGACTGACACAAAACTTGTAATCCCTGGAGGGGAATGCAGTGTAGCAAACAGCACCATGAAAAAAGTTCCCATTTACGTTGCACTCCAGTAGCAAGGAGAGACTCCTCTCTCCCTTTTCCCCTATGAACCCCCCACTAAAGCCCCCTCCTGACGCCCTCCAACATCCTGAATCCCCCTCCAGTGCTCCTCCAGGACATCAGGAGGGGGCCTGTAGGAGTCACGCCTGTTAAGAGGGGCTCTTAAGCACATTAAGCAATCTCGTCTCGACTGAGGAGGGGAGAACTCTGACTTAATATCAGAGAGTTAGGGAGGAGGAGGGTGGGAGCTTTGGCAAACCAGAGCTGAAGGAGAGACATGCTGCTGGCACTTTGGAGCTTTCTCCCCTCCGAAACAAACAACACAGGGTCAGGTAATGGTTCAGGACCAGTGCGGACCCCAATAAAGAAATTAAATGGTGTCCAATGAGTTGATGACCTTGTGTTGTCTTGAGTTCCAGTCATCTTAAAAACAAAATTAATTGCTAAGAAAACAATTGCAAGAAACACAAGCATTCAAACAATCAGACAGTAAACCACTTGTAATGTAAGTAATAATTCTACTTTGCACTTGAAGCACAAAGACAGTCTGTAAGAGATGTTTACAACAGACAAAATTTAAGGTCTCAGTGTGTTTGAAACAAACATGTTTAACATGTCATCTAAACATCACATTTAAAGGCAGAAGTGCTTGACAAACTCAAAGGGGAGGTGAAAATGCCCTCATGGAAAGAGGTGTGACAATGTCTCCTTAATAACATTCACAGTGTTGTTAGTTGTACGAACAAAAATTGACGTAACAAAACAAACTGTCCAATTAGATCTTCATTTGACGAGGCCTTTACCGTTACCTTTCCGCTTTCTCTTCTAAATAAGATATGCTGAAATCATCCTTTAATCATTAGACCTGGGCATTTTAACAACCTTTTGTTAACTATGTAAAAACGCTACTAACGCAGCGTTGTAAAGAAAAAATTTGCAAATGCTGTGTCATGTTAATGGTTACCACTCAGATACCTGACAGACTCGAATCTTGGCTTGCTATTTGCTCATGAAGATTTGTAGTAGACCTGCCCTAAAGAACGTGAAACTTTAGACTTAAGGTTAACCATTACTTTGTTTTGTATAGTATCGTGAAAACCATTTTCAGAATCCTATTTTCATGGCATTTGTAGAGTGGAAGAAGAATCAGAGCATGTCTGAAATTTGAGGATCCTAACTCAGTGTTTTTAGTGTGCCAGTGTATCTCAAACGTATACTATGAGGAGCGAGCTCCACTGCCTGACATAAATAGAAACTCTGAGATTTCAGGGGAAGAAATTGGATGCATATGAATGGTGGTAAATAGTTTGACATTAAGTTATTTTGGATGATGGATGATAAACACGATGATTGCGTTTCAGTTGGACTTTGTAGATGACTTGAAGTGTGAAATCAAGTTAAGTGCTCAGGAGGTAGGGGTTCCAGGCTGAAATAAAAATATATACCCTTGTGTCCCTCTGACATGAGGACGGATGTTTGGTGGGGTTGGATCTCAGTTTGGATGGAGGTTGGAAGAGTGTGTGGAGGAGGAGGGAGGGGGAGTGGAAGGCGTTGGTGGAAAGTAAGAGGAGAAACAAGGAGAAACGCTTGGAGGCATACAACATCTTCAACATCTGCAGCACACAGACACTTGACAATACAAACCACCTAAAAAAAAAAAAAAAGTGAAAAGTATTTCTATGTTTTTTGCCTTTAAAAGAAAATGTCTTGTGGCTCTGCTCCATTCTCTCCCTCTCTATCTCCCTCTCTGGGTATGTAAGCCGATACCCATTTCAAGTGGGTTACTCATGTCCAGCACATCCACACAAAGAGCCCGGATAAAATAAACACGCCGCGTCGGATATCTTGGAAAGAATCTGTCATGGGTTTGGGGCTAATCACCTCCAGAAGGGGCTTGACTCAAAGCCTGAAACGTTAGCCCCTGTCGGGGAGCGCTGGCTAGGCCGGCTAGGCCCTGGGCACTGGGGATGGATCCGGAGGAGGGGGTGCCTTTCACAGGTCAGGACCAGGGGAGCAAGAGGGGAGGCTGGCTTTGGCCCATTTACAGAGACCCGGGATCACAGTACCATGAGCCAGTTCTCGACACACCACCTGACACCGCCATCGCCACTGCCACACGGTCACGCTATAAAAAGGCAGCAGGCGTCGTCTCCTCCAGAACCGAGCTGGTTAGGGTTACACAGTTTACAGGCTCGGGACGCGGGGTATTAAGCAGGGAGGGAAGGGTGATGTCCTAACCAGTGACCCCTGTTACTTTATCAGCTGATGTAGCTGCTTCACTTCATTGCTCGATTACACCAGTATTGTTTGATGAATTATCAAGACAAGGGTGGAGAGGAGAGATAAGGATACTGGAAAGAAACAAAACTGGAAATATTGTTGTAATGTAATAGGTCATTTGGATGGGACTGGTCCTCGACTGCCAGTTGGCAGCATCCACGGCTATACTGGGTTCAGACACGATTCCAGCATCAGTAATCAGAGCATTGGAAAGTTGACATAATACACCTGTTTAATTCAAAATAAACAGCTGATAACATAATGATGTTGTCATACTCAAACTCAGTTTTTCATGTCACAAATAAATTAGCAGCCAAAGATTTGTTATTGTGAAAAAATCAACAAACGATACATTTGTCCATCATTGTGTAAGTTAGAAAATTTACTGGCTGCTGAAATAAAAATCTTCACATCTTTGAAAACATTGAAATAATTTGTTGCTTGATCTTTAGCTGCACAGCAATGACTCAGTTTTAAGGGAAACAAGGGGACTCCATCACAACTATTCTACAAACAAATTACTAAAGCGATCCACCCAAAAGAGATAAAGTGGAACGAAAAACATCCCGAAGTTGAAGGTATGATTTTTTTTTTTTTTTAAACAGTAACATGAAATGACAAGCAAACATATCATATTTCTCCACAGCTAATTAAGGGGTATTTCATGCTTATGGCAGCATTGGACTTGGACCAGAGAGAGACAAGTCACTCCACTGCCTGTTGGCAAACACTGTTGTTACAGCGTCCCTCTGACTGCTGGATGACCGCAAGCATTGTGCTCTCTGGATGTGAGGCCTTGACCCTGGACGGGCCTTCATGATAAAAGCACACTTCCCCCGTCCTCCCTCTTGCCCTCTCTCCAGTTCGTCTCTCCCTTTTAAGTCTGGCTGTGGACGTCGCAACTCCAAATCATCTCACTACCTCAGGGCAGGGCAGGAGGCCACAGTGGGAAAGATGGAAGGAGACATTTGCCTCTTCTCAGATTATCAAACTACTTTACACCACAGTCAACTATTTTGAACATTGTTTTACCATTAAGGAAGAAAAATGTAACGTGATAAATTAAAACCTGCGCTTCGAAATCGGATTGAGGATTGTATAGATACAGAGCCAGTTGCTTTTAAATTTAAAAATACATTATGGGGTGCCCGGTTAGATCAGGCGGTAGAGCTGGTGACCCATATACGGAGTTGCTGCAGCGGCCAGGGTTCAAATCCGACCTGTGGCCCTTTGCTGCGTGTCATCCTCTCTCTACCCACCTTTCCTGTCAATCTTCAGCTGTCTCTATCCAATAAAGGCATGAAAAGGCCAAAAAAAGACATTGTGGTTTCATAAAACCTGAGCCTTATCCAGAAACATGACAGACTTTTAGACTTCACTGTAGTAATGTAACGACTCTATCTCTGAGTCCATGTTATTCTAACTGAATCAATTCCCCGAAATATGAAAATAATAAAAATAAAGTTGTAATAAATCAGCATTTTCCTTAAAGTCTGAAATGATTTGACTCTTCACTCTCAAAATGCGTAGCATGTCTCAAGTCTTACCTTTTATATAATTTCTGTTGTGTTGTGCTTGTCTGTTCCATGCCTCCACTGGACCCAGCTGGTAACTGCAGTTCCTGAACAAGTCAGGGCGGACAGCGGGATCTAGGAGAGTAAGAGAGAAAGGGTCAAAGAAGGACAAGGCAGGCCTAAAACCAGAAGCAGAAAACCAGAACCTAACATTCGGAAAATATTAGAACAGCGGTCTGGTTCCACTGTGGCAGATGACATTAGCAGTTAGTGCAGACATAGACCTGTGTGTCGGTGGAGCAGGATGACAAGAGCCCTGCTAGTGGAATCATACATTTGCAATTCTGATCAAAGAGCAACCTCCCTCTACAAGACCGTGGCATGATAACCGTGGCAGGACTACTGTTTCTTGGAGCAGAGCAGAGGTGAGGTCACCTTTCACTGCAGCCGCACTCAACCACTACAATGAATCTTAATGAAAATCATCACAGGGTGACTTGTCAAGAGGTTTCTTGGCAATCGTTATTTCCTTTGCAGACTCTCAAATAAGGCCCAATAAGAGGCGACAGGCCCTGGCTTCTGCTGTCTGTTATGGCTCGTTAACATACACGAGGTGGAAAGGTTCGTTGCTGTTTGAAGCACAGTTGAAGAAACAAAGACAAGAATGAAAAGAATCAAACATTTGTGTGGATTTTTTCCCTTTTAGAAAATGGATTTATGTCCTGTTCTTTCTGTGCTGTGAGGGATATTCAAGAAGGAAATCATGAGAGCTTCTTACCATATCTGCCTTCAGAATCTTCATATTGATGCATTTTGCTAACAATTATGGTATTATAATTACCTTGTTCAACATTAAATGTTACACATACCAGCAAAACAGGCACATACAATTAATACAAAAGCTCCAATGTTTATTTTTAACGATACAATTCCACACTTACTCCGACATTCCTTCTGCTGTTGCTTCTTTGACTTCATCTTCTGGGCTCTCTTGAGCATTAGAAGAGCTGTGTGGCTTTGAGTGAAGCCCCTAGAGACAACAAGGAGAAAAGTGTCTCACACAAAACCCCACAACATAACAAAACACACACTCCAACAGGGATGGAAACAATCAGAACCTCATCATGAAGTATGATAACACAACCATTTACCATTCTTCCAGAATCATTTCTGATCGTTTGGTGAGACCACTGACCACTGAGGCAGAGGCAGGAGATCTGCTTCTGAAATCACAAATAGATTGTCCCCAAAACATGAGATGCACAAAAGTATACATTCACATTTTATTATTTTACCTCACATATTAATACACCATCATATGTACGGCATATAACACTGTCACAACAGCAGTAGTATTAGCAGGATTTTGACAATACGAGGGTCGGATTTGAAGAGATCTGGACAAAAACTTTTTTTTTGTATCCTATTGTTTCCAGACCAACAACAGCCTTCAACTGTTGACTGCTGAGCAGATCTGCTTTTCACACTTCGGTTCTGAGTGCCTAAAGACTACATCACCTACGACTAAAATGTGGACAAAGCTGATTCACCCATGACACAAATATGTTGAATTGGGACATAATTAAAACATGGGTCCTCATGATTCTTATTTCAAAACCTTGCCAGACTGTCAGTTTATATCCGAATTCAGGATTATTGTATCATGATTGATTCTACAATGTTCTTTGATTTTACAAACTGTACCTTCAACATAAGCTTGATAACTAGCAAACCACTGCATGAAATGTTTGTCAGAGTGTCGGCCTTGGAAAGTTCCTGTTGGATGCAGCCTCTTGTTTGAGGATCCAGCAAATGCTTCCGTTAAAGCATGCTGAGGTTTCTACTACGAGCTGACTATAGCTCACATGGCATTATTATAATGTCAACAAAAAAAACACACCAATATACACTGTTTACAATACATGTAGTAAAATGTTTATGTTAATAGTGTGAAACATATATTAAGTGGTTTATGTTTACAGCTTTAGTCACTAATAGTGTTACTGTGGGTTGTCGTACCTGCTGGAACTCACTGGGGAAACTCTCTGCCCAGCAGAGTCCACCTGATCTCCAGCCACCCAGGCATGCTTTGACCTCCATACAAGCGGTGGTGGGAGTATGTACTGGGATTCAGAATAGGCCCCAGGAGGCTGAAATAAATACATTAAACAGTGTGATTTGCAGCTCTTATCACTTTATTTGAGTACATCTTTTTATAGCTTGCTTTTTAGACAAAAGTATATACAGCAGAGAAGCCATTTATCTTGGGATGCTTTATATCTGCCTGAGAAAAAAACTGAATCCTCATTTAAAGTGTGTTCAGAAGGTGGTAATGCTGGATCTCTAAATGGAAAAATAGAGTTTAATCTCTGTCTAGACAACATACAGTCATCATTATACCTTGGGAAAATGAAATATAATGTATACAGAAATGTCCAGTCACATTTAACTCAACTGCATGTTTTCTTTTGAGGTATTTGGCTGACACTTTTAACCAGAGCGAGTTTTCACACTCAAGGAATGCTCTGTAAGTCAAACTAACAGCTTAATTACTCTCAAGATCCCATTTTCTCTTTGTGGAAGCGCTAAATTGTTCATCCCCGCCTTTGATGTGTACCTCAGTGTCAACACATTGAGGGCGGCCACGACAGCAGCTGCACCACATCAGCTGGCCTAAACCGGCTACCATGATGTACAGCGCTGAGCACGCTCCAAAGAAAAGATCCAACGAGAGGTAAATGAAGGAAAAAAAACAGGACGACAGACGGCCAGCGTGAAAAATGACATCTGCTGGTGCAGAGCCCCCTTCAGCCCTCCAGGAAATAATCTTGTTTTTCAAGAGAATAAATTCAAAGATCAATCAGGGAGAGTGAGACTAATCCTGGAGGGGGCGATAACCAAGATGAGAAAGGGACAGGGCAAGAAAATAACTCTTCCACTGACACCACACAGGGGCTGGTAATTAATATTCAAATTCTCTGCCCACTTCACTATCATACCAGCCCACCAGGTTTGAAGAATATTACAGAATGTCCTGGGACAGTTGCCTTACCTTGAGAGACGGTGGCTGCTCTGACACAGGGTAACGTCTGGGAGGTGAGTCCTCAGAAAGCGGTAGTGCCCAATGTTTCTCCAGAGCTGCCTTTGTGAAAATAAAAAGACTTTTTGATATATACTTCTGGACAGCGATAGGTGGGGAACAACAAAGAAAAGTGTCTTCAAAACCAAACATATCATATCATATACGTATGACCAATAACATTATAGTATTAGAGTATATTTGTGGAAAGTATATGTCAACATTTTTGTATTCTCGTTTATATGTCTGATGGGGCAAGGGGGTGGGGAATTACTGAACCATGAAACAATAAACACACAAACCTGTGTGCTTACCTCATCAAAGACAAATTCATCCAGGTCCACCTCTTCAAAGGTGTCGTCCTCTCTAGTGTCCCCGACACTGACAGCAGCCAGAGCAGATGCTAGCCTCCTCCTCAGAGTGAACCCCCTCCAAAACGCCTAGGGGTACCCAAAGAAGAAATGGTACAGTAGAAAACCCTCCATGAATCACAAGGCAAACGTAAATATTGTGTGTTATCCCATTAGGGAGATAAAACATGTTAACCTCTCTTTTAATTGCGGAGTGTTCTGCTGTCTGAACTCTGCGTGACTCCGGGCTGCTCCGAGACAAATGGAGCTCAAGTGTGCCTCTAAATCCTCCAATTCCCAATGGGCTTTGGGGGGGGGGGCACATTTCACTTTACACTGAGCCAAGCAGGAATCCTAGAACTCTTACTACCGCACTTCTTTGGAATCTGATTAATCACTCTGTACTACCCCTCCCCACCCCCAGCCCACCCCAACACGCACACTCACTATCCCTACTACAACGTCACCCCCACCTCCTACCTAAGAGAGCCCTGAAGGACTCGTCAAACACTTTTTGTGTTGAGAAGGGATTTGGGAGAAGTGTTGAGTAGCATGTTTTTCAGAACAGCAGCTTACACCTATATGCAGAGAGTGAGCTCAATAAGCCTCCACAGAATATATGGTGTCTAAAGATGGGTGTTCATAAGTGAAACGTGCCTCCAGCCTTCAGACACAATATTGGAAAATTCTAGTTGTATCAGTATGGTCCTTAATTACACATCGAAAGGTTAATAAGTAGTATTTTGTCTATGTTAAACTAGGCTGCTAAATACTGAAGGTTTTAAAACTAGCAGGCACATTGACAGATTTTATGCAGACTGGTACTGAACTATTGATGAGTCGAATGACAAAAATAATAACTGATCGCTTAAGTCATTTATGAAGCAAAAATGACAAACATTTGTTTATTTCAGCTTCTTAAAAGTGAGTATTTGCTGCTCTTCTCTGTTACACATCATTGTTAATTGAGTATCTTTGAGTTTTAGACTCTTTGGCAAACAAGACATCTGAAGACACCATCTTAAACTATGGGAAATTGTGATGGCTATTTTTTTTCAATAAATTAAAAAACATAACTGACAAATTATTCCGACAACACTCATTGCTGCTCTAATTCAGATGTCCTTAGATATTCTGTGCATCAAAGGACATAGTGATTAAATGGATGGATTGAGTGCACTACTAACGTATAATCATAAAAATCAAATAGGTTGATTGATTAAATTCATGTCAGATATATCAGTTATGCAGTCACACTTAACCAGACCATTGTCTCCAGTGCTGTACAAGTTCATGACAAAAGGCTGGCAGGACCTGTTACTGCAGTGCGGAGGGAGGGAAAATGCTCTAAATGTCTCTGAAACCCTCTAAAACCAGTCAAACTAACGGTAGATGTACTTTACACATAGTGTACAGATACAGAAAGTAGTAGGCTGTCTCTTGTACTTGCTTTCTGGCGCAGCAGCTGTACTACACATGAGGGAGTTGATAATTTCCTGCTCCACCACCAGTGTCCTTTTAAAATAGCTTCAGAGGGAAAGTGGTTTAGTGGAGGATGATGCAAACATGGGAAAATGACAGAAAACATCCATGTGAGCTGCAGGGGTAGGTTTTCTATGTAACATGGGCAACACACAGTTTGAAAATGTCTGCCCCTTAAGTATAGCATGACTCCACTCATTGGACTTCCTCTAAACTAAGTCAAACAAAATTATCACAATGTCCAAAATTCCAACAGTTTTACCTGGATAACAGTTGCTGCATAATCTTGGCCAACAACACTCCTGTTAATATACGAAGGTCCTGATTCTGGCTTTCTTCCATCTTCTCCTCTTCCTCCCCCCTTCTCAGCTGTGGAAGGGCTGCTGATGTTCCCACATTTCTGTCTGTATTTCCTCCACAGCTGCTGAATCACGACTGCTGCTGTGCTGCTCCAGGAAGGACAAACACACAGACAAACACACACAAAGTGAGGGATGTGAGGGATATACATGATGTCATATCACCTTCGTCTTTCAAAACATGAATTTATTTCTGAGCAGACATCTGGAAAGCGGGACTCTGGAGAGTTTAAGCCTGTCCAGAGCCACCCTTCATATGAAAGATCGATTGTCCTCCCAAAGATAGTGCAGTGTTAATGATGAAGCTGCGTGTTAAAATGAGTAAGATGTTAAACATTTTCTGCTGTAAATCATACAAAGGAGGCTCCAATGATGACAAATGCTCTGCAACAGAAACTCATAAAATGCTGAGCTGCTATAAAAAGAATTACATAAAAAAAGAGGGTGTTTGCTTTCAGCCAGCAGTGTCCACTTGTGTACCATGAAAGAATTTGGAGCCTTTCATTACAAACACTACATCAGCTGATCTCAATGATTTGTTGTCAGCAGTGTAGTGTTGGATGGAATAGATGCGCACAAGTGGATGCTATTGACTCAGAACATTTGATGAATTACTTTTGTAGGTCCAGGTTTTGATGCTTGGACACAGGTGCCATTTCAGAATTGGCAGAAATTGTTCTTCCCTTTGTTGCCAAGGAGTGAACACTGCCAGAGTTCGCTTTGCTAACTGTTGGCCCCGTCTTTGGACCTGCTGTAACATTGTCAAATGTGTCATGCCGACTCTCTGCAGCTGACTTCTTATCGAAAGTCCAGGAGCTGCATCTGATATTGCCCCTTTTTGGAATAATAGGTGGAACTTTTCCAGTGGACTCCATTTCTGGCCGCTCAGCATGCTTCTCAACATTGGTGCTGTCAATGTCAAGTGTTTCCTCAGCTATTGTTCGGCCTGCGGCCCTGTGTTTGTCAGCCACAGTGGTGTCACCATATTCATGGTCAAATCTCTGGTCCATAGCCAGCTGCAGAGCCTCAGTGAAGTATCGGCAGGAGGTCTTTACAGCATCCAGAGAAGATGAGGCATCGCTGTGAACATACACACACAAAAACACACTGTTTTAAGTATTGACTGATTCTTTTTACAATAGCTGCATGTACAGTAAGTGAGTGAAGAGTCTACATAATAAGAAACTCATAATGTGGACCTATGCATTGATTCATGGGTAGTGGATGCACCCTCCTATTTAGTCAGGAAAGCTGACAACTAAATGGCAGCACAGATGTTCTAAGTTTAGTGACAGTGTATTAAACTTATAAGTAATGTAACTAGGTAGTATAGTATACAGTTTTCCAGTTTAAAGGAACAGTGAGTAGGATTTAGTGCCACCATTCCAAGTGTGTAGGAGAAACTACAGTGGCCACAAAAGGCTAGAGCCATTGTTTGGATGGAGGTGCATGGTAGTTTTATTTTAGGTCTATAATTCATATGGGGTTCAGAGTAATTTAGTTTATAACATACAGTACTGTTATGAAATAGTATTATAGAAGCTTAATTCAGCACGCGTAATTTCTTGAGAAATTCAGTCCATTCTGTTGCAACTCAGAAAAACCAAGTAGTGAATAAATGGAACATCAGATTTAGCTGACATTTAGTTCTTATTCTTGACCAGTACATCTGAGGTGTGTGTGTGTGTGTGTGTGTGTGTGTGTGTGTGTGTGTGTGTGTGTGTGTGTGTGTGTGTGTGTGTGAGTGAGAGAGAGAGAGAGAGAGAGAGAGAGAGAGAGAGAGAGTTGCTCTGTGTGCCCTAATACCACATAATGTCTCTTTCATTGAGGGGATAAACCGACTACAAAGCCACCTCAATGGAAACTTAATGAATCTATTAGCAATGCTTGGTTCTGCTCTCCTCTGTCCTCAGCCCTGAGGGGGCAGAGACACTTCAGTAACCAGCCAGTCTAGAGGGCCAGTAGCCTTAGGTAGTACAGCTTCTTCTCTACAAAGACGTAGCTCTTAGTTCTCAGTGGGACAAGAGAGAGAGGAGTCGGGAGGTCCAAAAGGATTGTGACCCCACTGACCTCAGCCCCCCGTACCTGCTGGTTCACTCCAGGGTCACCATCAACATGTATACCAATGATATAAGAGAGCAGGAATGAACAAAATTTTTTTACATTGTTAAAGCTGCAATACAACATGTTTTTGACAGGGAAATAATAAATACAAGACACATCTTAAGTATTACTACCCTGCATCATCGTCTGTAACTCTGATACCAAAACCCCCACTGGGTACTTGTGTTTTCTTCTTCTGTATTATATTTCAGGATGAAAAAGTCTGGAGTCTGCTGGAGAAAGGTAAGAAATTGAAACACAGCTATGGTAAAGACAAAGCCTGTAGCAAAGTATACTGAATTTAGTGGTTTTCTAACTGCCGATCTGATCTGGTTCAGTGGCTACAGATGCAGTTTACCTCCACTGCAAGATAGATGCCAGCTTACCAAGATAAATAAAAAGTAAAAAGTAAAGTTTAGGTTATAAAAGCAAAAATATGCAACATTGTAGCTTAAAAGAAGAAGGATTGTGACTTTTGATCATCCCCATCTCTTACATTGTAACTGTGTTAGGAGGAGATGACTTGAACAGTAGGAACAATTTCAACAACCTTATGGGCAATACTGTTGTCACTATTTTCCAGTAAACTTCTAATGAATGATTTGCCGTGCACAAACTACATGCAGGGTCAAGGTTCAGTGCCAGTGCAGGAAGTAGGGTGCCCTTCATGTAGTGAGGTGGAAAGTAAGGATGAAGAGGTCGGGGTGGGTCACATCTGACATTCATGCCAGAGAGGAATGTTTGTTGTGTGTCAAAGATACTGTAAAAAAACACTTTTTACTGACTAACATCCATGAAATGGCAAATGTTTTGGCTAAACAGAATTATTCTTGTGTCTCTAAACCAGGGCAATATGCAGAATCTGTGATGTATTGTATAAATGTATAACATTGTCTTGTTGAATATTGACTGCAAAGCCAATTGCCTGAAAAGAACATTAAATATCCATTCTATTCTACTGCACTGACCCTCCAGCTTGTTTCTAAGAGGCTATTGTACTGTTCGCTTAGCAGGGGATGTATGCAAAGAGAATATAAATTATAGCCAGGAGAGGAAAAAGTTTCACTTTTTCGTAGCTCTCTATCATACAAGATCACTCTAGGATACAGAAATACAGTAGTTTTAAGTGCTGTGGTTCCAACCTTTCTTTTTCTTTGTATTAAGAGAAAGATGTCTTTGCTGTTTTGTATAAGTCATAAAAAGTAAATTACAAGTATAAAACAGAGGCATTTTGTAAGAAACAGGATTCAGCCTCCACCCTACACCCTGTAGAGAAATGTTGTGAAACCATACCCCTGATAAACCCCATGGTTTCCCACCTTACAGTCACCAGTGGACTGACGTGTGGCACTCTCCTCACCTCTTCTAAACCCCACTCAGACACAAGGTCAGGCCAGGGGTTAAATGGCCGTGTTGGTCCTTGCAAAACCCTTAGAATGGCTCATTGTCCAGAGGCCAGAGGGGTAGAGGGCACACGGTGAGGGGTGAAGCAAAGGGAGCACCACGCTACACCCCAAGCCATAGGAGTCCTCGGTGTGACCCATACGGGTAGCTACAGCCACGTTTCATCTTTTGTTCTGTGTAATTTGGAAGGGTCATAAAGATAAGCAGAAAGTTGACCAGTGTTTTAAGTGTTGGTGGTCCATCTTGCATAGGAGCATCAATGTGTGTAGAGGGCTAGTGACATCGAAGGACTTGTGAAAATAGCTAGACGTTGTCTTTAGGATCACTACGTTCCTATATATCAGACATAATAACAGGATAGTTAACATTCCTGACTGGTTCATGTCTGACAGGCTGATCAGCAGATAGATGGTAATATGACCTCTGGAAAATAAGTTTGCAGTCATTTATATTGTCTTATCCTGTTCAATTTGACTTTGGGGTGCCATTCTTTTTCTTTTTGAGTGTGTTATAATCCATTTAGGGTTTCACCTCTTGCCTGTATGTTTCACTACTTTTTCTTTCTCTTTTTTTCTTACGAGAGCTATCAAACATGCAGAACTTACTGGCCAAACTTATTTTTCTTGAGAATGTCTGGCACTTCCTCGCATACAGATGTATTTTTAGGCAATCTGGTGTGGAATTAATAATTAATGATTTTTTTTTTTTTTTCACTATCATTTTCATCTGTGTGTTAGATAAAATGGAGAGTGAGCATGCTATCTATGACTTTCGAACTACACCACATGGTGCATTCATTAACCTCTTTTTCCATGAGGACACCTCGAAGCCAAATCTGAAAATGAACAATGAACAAATCCCCTCCTTCCTTCCTATGAACTGCTTCCAAGCTTCTTCAGAAATCAGTCCTCTTGAAATTTCAAGTGTGTTACCTATCTAAGTGGAGAAATACATGTAGTTGATCCCTGGTGTCAGTATTACGAGCAAATGTTATCTGAGTTAACAATAAGCATCTCTGATCACAGATTTGTTTTCCTTAATGGGTCCATGATATCTCCAAAAAGGATCAACAGTCAATATTGGGGTCAGACGTCTATCCAACCACTTTCTCTGACCACTGGTACCACCTGCACTCATCCACACTAGACACATAGCACACTGACAGTACACCTGCACAAGCAGTCTCTTACCTGAGCTCCCTGTTGTGCTTTTGCTGTAAATCATGAGTCTGCTGAAGCTGATCCTGGCAGAATGTTAGGAAGCTGCCTGAGGCCAAGCTGACCTGTTGAACAGCAGGGGGCGATAGAAAAGAGTCTATCTCCTGGTCATCGATGCCCCTTAGGCCAGGCACTGATTTCTGTAGAGTGGATCTGAAAAGGAGAGCAAACTAGATGAAATGTCATCTTCATGGCCTTCATTTTTTGGTTATGTAATATTGACAAAAAATGCCAAGAATTATGTTTTGCATATATATATATAAAAAAAATAAAATGCATAGTAATAACACTGAATTTATCTGAAAATTTAGCCATAAAAAGAAATAAAGCTTACCAATATATTTAAATAATCTACTAACACTTTTCAGCTAACACTGTCACATTTTAATCTTTGTTCTGCTCTTCTTTCTGCTGCTATTGTTCTACACAATAGTACTGCATTCAAGTGCATCCTTCTTCAGCACTTAATGAATACAAACAACTTGGTGAGTCCTACCTTTTTTAATAAACATCAGTATATTCAAAGACGATCAAGGCCTTTGAGAGCAACTCAAAAAAGAGGCCAAAATTTCAGATGAAAGGAACCATGTTCAAAATGAGACTCAAGTTAGAGAGAGGGCTTCTGCCAGGGCTAAGGAATAAGGCATGAAGCTTTCACCAAGGGGTATAACTGTAAACCCATATTTACAGCTGTACAACTGAGTACACTGTACATTTTGTCCTCTAGAATAACCAATCTAATCTATTTACAGTGATTTAGTGAACTTGATGTACTTTATCCACTTGTATAAATGATCTGTCTTCTGGAAAATACAATCTGAAAAAAATTTGAGACAGTTAATGTAATTGTTATTTTTATATTGCTGTCTAAAAGTGCAGTCACACAGGCACTTTGGATAAAAACTTTAGTAATAGTATCAGCCTTCAAACTGGAAGGAAGCTCTCAATGGCAGTGAGTCTGGGGTAGAGGTAACCACTGCCTGAGGCTAAGGATGTACAAGCAGAGGAATCCCAACTATCTGCCAGAGAAACAGACTCGGAGCGTCCACCAGTGGAGGCCAAATGTGGTCTGTGTTCAGTGGGAAAATGTGGAGCTGGAAACTCTACAGGACACTAGGGAACAGCAACAATAAAATCTGTAAAAATACAAGCCTTCAGGCTACAAAGTCGATTTTTTAAAACATTTCGAACAACTGGGTTTTTCAAAATTGATTCCCAGAGCACCATATGCTCTTAAATCTTGTCCACCACGTCACCACAGGAGGATAAAATGTGTAGAAGGCGAACCTTTAATTTCACCAGCTCATAAGGTTTTTGTGAATATTTCTTATTTCACACTGTATCTTTTTATAGTACACATGTATCTCAAGATGTTTTACCAATTCATGGCTATAATAGATTTATAAGGGTATCTTGCTGGTTTATTTAAAACATGGCTCCTTCTTTTACTGTAATAATCAATTGTTCCCTCAACTAGTAAGTATGAAGCACAGAGCAAAGTATTAAATCCAGTGAAAAAAATAAAGAAACAAACAAAGCTCATGGTGGGGTAATCTTAGTGCTTCAAGTGCCCTATTCTGATTCAGGTATGAATTGTGAACCCTTTTCTTCAGGCCCTTGTAGAGGATTTAAACCCATAAAAATGGTTCCTATGTTAGAAAATATGGTGGATAGAATAAAGAGTTTTCCAACCCTACTGCCACCCTGAGACAAAGAAATGGCTGCAAAGGACTGGATCTGTGCACTGTCAGAGGGGATACGGTTTTGATGTGGCCCACTTGGTCTCTCCGACACAGATCGGGATTAGATTCCACCCCTTCGGGCATGTTGTCTGGCTGGCTGTCTTTAAATGAAGCTCCAAACCCAAATACAACCTTTTGATCGTTACATGAGCTCATTGAGGTGGGGAATGTAATTCAGTTCAGGAGTGGACGGTACTTAGACACACTTGGGAGAGCGCAGAGTAGACTTATGTACAGAATAATTAGATGCCATCAGTTGTGGTTATTTACAATGAATGATTCTCATTAAAGAATGGGGGGAACTGAGTTTGCTGGTTTCAGAAAAATGTCTTTCTCTGTACCGTGTGAGTAAACTGTGCATTTGTCCCGACTGGTTCAATTTAACCAAATAAATGAAACTCGTCATTTTTCAGAAGGTAGGAGTCTCACAATTTAGACGCTATGAATCTCTTTACAACTATATCTACTTGACTATACTTGGACTTCAACCCTCACCATTCCTAAACTGATTTAAATGTCATCCTATTGTCTGAAGCAAACGCTGTTCTTTGCACACATTCCTTCATCCTCCTTCTCCAGCCCGTAAGGGGTACAAGTCCGTATTTCATTTAGTGAAGACTTCCTCCAAAACACATTCTCTTAAAGTGGCCCTGATTAATCAGGCCCAGTGTTTTCGTCTTCCACGTCTCCTGGATCAGGGGCTGCCTACAGGGAGTGTAATTCTTAACGCTTGGCTTTTGGTGCTTTAATTTAGCCAGTGTTTTCACTGGCTCGGGATGAAAGGGCCAGGGCACGAATGTGGAAATACAGAGGGTTAATACCACTGTTGGCATTGGAGGTTAGTTAAAGTTCAAAGAAATACTGAAGTAATGTTTCAGTTAAGGCTTAAGATGGGTAAAATGTCCACAAGTAAGCCATGTTTTTAGGGGTTTTTGGACAGAGAATGACCCAATAAACAAGAGCAGAAATAAAAAATGTGAAATGTTATGTTGAAGTTGTCAGCGTTATTGAGCCAAATTGCCAGTAGTATATAAGACATATGCAACTGACATTCAACCCTTCTCAGTTATGATGTTTATGATTTAAAGGTGCAAACTTAAAGTCCAAAAACTGACAGATGAAACCCCCTCAATGCAAGAGTGCAAATGCAGTTAGCTAAACAACCCACAAAATTATTTTATAAAACTGAAACATTCAGGGATATTTGAGGGGGCAAGGGAAGTATACTTTTTCATATTTTGCTGTTACTAAATGGGTGTGAGTAGCTCTGAGGAGCCAAACAACTTTGCAAACCTGTAACAGCTGACATCATTGCTCATTACAGGCCCATAGACACACGATAAATGTAAGAGGTCATTGCATATTTTTCATATAAACTCACTGGAACTGTCTTAACATCGGTAAAATATTTAGGCACGATAAGTGAATGAGCAAATTGACACTGAAAAGATAATTGATTTTTCTGTTGTATCAATATTTTGGGAATTATGAGCACTTAGTGCAATGTACGTACACACGGGTTTCGGTGGCACGTCGAAGTAATCTAATAGCGGACGCGGATCACAGTGCTAATCCTGGGAAGTGAACAGGAAGGCATGTGTTCTGCTGGAATGTTTAGACTACCTCAGCCAATGGACCAAATTTGTGATAGAGAAATACGGACTTTTCACTGGTATGCTCCTTTGAGCATCCAACACGGCAAGTGATATTCAGAGCAAAGGAAGCTGAAACTGAAACTTTTGTCAAAAGAATTTCTAATTACACTATCTTGATTTGAAACTGTGCGGCAGGTACTGAGGAGGAGAGAGTACTAAAGTCAGATGTTAACAGCTCATCCAGAATATTAGAGAGCACATTTAAACTTGCTTAATACAACAGAATTGCCTTATTTGTCCTGCAAGCAGGTACATACAGACTAGAAAACAATGTATTTAGATAGAACAGAACAGTAGCCCATATAATTTGCTCTACTTCCTCCATCCAGACCTTGCCTTACCTCCAGCCACTCTCCTGCTCAACAGGATTCCCTGTGAGGTGGACCTTTTGCAGGAACTGACATTCCTTCAGACTCTCACACACGTTCTGGAGCTCTGAGAAGGAGGTATAAAAAAACTTTACCATGTCAATGTCCATTTTTCAGTATATTGCTCATTTTCACCAGCATCTTATCTAGTTAGGCAGAGCTACACCAACTAGAGATGTATTTATGCATCTTATTTATATGGAGTCATATACTGTACTTGGACAGCATGCCTAAAGCCAATATGAATCTAGCAGTGTCATATAAAGTTAAAATCAACAAAATATAAAATCATTAGTTAAAGTTAAGTCAGCAAAAAAAGAAGATTTAACAACACACGTTTTGAATTTGTCCACGAGGAAATAGGATTTATATAGTCTGTTTAATCAAGACAAGCTGTTACCTGACACACAGTTGAATCGAACATCCAGATTCGCAAGGGACACAAAATCAGACATGGAGGGCAGCTGGGTGATTCTACAAAACACAGAGACAAATTACTCTTATGAAAGCTACACTGCATCTTATGCTAATGTTAATATCTCTGTTAAAAACAGAAACATTCTGAAATTATGTGACTGTTTTTTATGGTTGCATATGTTGCATAGGTCGCCTAAAAGTTAGTTAAAAAAAAAAGGTAGTTAGAAGTTTTAATGTTTTATATCAAATTACTAAAACAAAAAAAGAATGGCATGTTATTTTCTCTTTTGTGTTTCTATCATATAACGAGTCTTAAGCAAAGACTGATATCAATTAGGACTAGAAGAATATACCTGTTTTGGGCCACAGAGAGATGTTGCATGAGGGGAAGCCAGCAAGCAATGAGACCTTGCAGGGAGGAGATGCTGTTGTCGTCTAGATGTAGCTCTCTGAGGAGGACCTGGTTGTTCAGACTGGGTGGCTGATGGACAAACAGGGTGAAGTTGTCAGTTAACACTGGTCAAACAGTGGGGTTAGACTAACTTCATGCTGCTGCTGCTGCTGCTGCTGCTGCTGCCTTTGTTGCTGATCCAGCGGTGCCTAAATGACCTCGTCCATCAATGTCAGTTGCTTTAGTCCTGCTGTGTTTACAGTCATCGATGTCTGCCACAATTTAAACTCTGCTGTGATCTAGGGGTGCCTTAGGAAACACTAAAGTTGTGTACTATTTTCATGCTTATTACTTTTGTGTGTCTGTACTTTTATTTTGCATGTATTCTCTTCTTTTTATTGACTATGTCTCATCAAGCAATTACCAGTGAGTGACTCTGCCAAAGAAAGTGAAAGATAAGTAGTAATTAGTAATCAGTGATTAATTAGTAGGACATTCTCTTTAAATGTAGAGTTGTTGTAGTTGTTGTTGACTACTGTTGTAGTATTGTAGTTTGAAGTGTGTTTTATGATTATCTGTGAGGTAAAATGGCTGGTTTTGTCAATGGAGTCTGGTGGGCCATAACGCTCTATTGGTTTGGTCTGAGATGCTGGTGTTCTAGTGGCAGTAAATGTCGCATATATATCATTTTTAAAGGTCAGTAACAGCAATCATTCCTGGCAATGTGATGTTTGTTTATTTCATCAGTCAATCTAAACTGCTTATTCAGTTCGGGCTGCAGGCAGCTGGTCAAATCATATTGTGTGAAAGATTTTTTATATTCTTTTGAATTTTAGATTTTTTTTATTTGGGGTAAACTTTGAAAATGTTCCATAAGAGGCCATGACATTCATTTGCAGGGTCACAGGGAAACCTGGTGCAATGTGTACTGCAGCTTGTGGTTTTTGTGAAGACAATCTGTTCAAGGTGATAATGTGAGCCTCCAACTTGGCTTCCTCTCATGAGTTGCTGATTTAAATAAAATCAGTTCATATGTATCTGTAACACTTCTGAGCTTTAGTTTTTAATTTCTGACACCCATACCAGATGTTTTTTAATCATTATGACTAATAATAATAATGTCATTATGACCTGTCAGAAATGAAGTTTTGGGTTTGTGATTATACAACCAATAAAGGGAATCTTGTGTTATATTTTAGTTTCTGCATCTTCAGTGAAAAAAAAGGAAAAAATATAGTTATGTGCAGAAAACAAACATCCTCCATCTTTTGATTTCTGCATATAACTCGAAATTAGGTTTTTATGGGGAATCCCTACATAGAAATCATTTACATCCCTACAAGATGAAAACAGAATTTTGTGGGCCTAATTCAATAAAACCTGCTGAGTTACCTCAACCTCAACCCCCTCGAACATCCAAATCAGTTTTTTATACAGGTCTCAGAACCAGTGCCGTCGGTGATCAGCTGTAGCCGTTTTTTCTTTACCTCAGTAAAGCTGTTGGCTCTCAGGTCCAGTGTGTTGAGTAGAGCACTGTTCTCCAGACCCTCCACACTTGCCAGATGGTTGTGTGAGCAGTTCAGGTGGAGGAGTGTGTAAACGTCCCTCAGACCTTTGGTGCTGATCAACTGGTTGTGATCCACTGACAACCTCTGCAGTCTCCTCACAGACTCCAGACCAGCTAGGGATGAGAAATGAGAAGCCACTTATTCAGAATGGAAAACAGCACCAGGTGAGTCGGCATATAACTTACCGCTTATAGCAAAGCATTACGCATGTTTAAAAACTTAATTTGAAATAAAACCATGGCAAAAGCCCCTACCTATGAATTTTTTTTTTTTTAGAGGTGAGTCACAACAAAATGTCACAGTAGCTGAATATACAATTCAAAGCATTTAACCTCTTGCCTGGCCAATATCTTTTTATGACTATAGTGCAAGGCTCAAGCTGACTTCAGCAAATAAATCACTTTTCAGTGCATACTGTAGTAAAGTGAATAAAGTCCAGGGCTGAAAAGAAGATAGATGCTGCCCTCTAGTGGTGTACTGCAGGAGTTCAGGCTTGTCAAGGTTTACTTCCACAAAACATCTTAAGGCTGCTACGTACACATTCCAGGGACAATAATCATTCAAACTACAAACAATTGGAGATCTCAAATATGACACAATCACACACTATAATGACATCAAACTGTCATCTGTTATTTGATTTTTTTAAACCAAATATTTCAAAAATCAATATTAATGTTTCAGAATTTCCAGCTCTCACCGATGCGGGTGAGGGAGTTGTGCGAGAGGTCTAGAACATCCAGATTTTCAGCACCAGTCAAACCGTGGATTGATGTCAGATTGTTGTGGCCAAGCTGAAGCACTCGTAAACTAGTCATGTTTTCACAGTCGACATATGAGATGTCGTTTTCCTGTAACAAAACAAATGAAGATCTTAGGACACAACAAAATCTGCCTGTATTGATTTTTACCTACTAGCAAAATTTGAAAAGAAAAAAGTGAGACTGATATTTAACTGAAAATAACCAAGACCAGCACTACCCAATAACACAGAATAGAGGTAAGTAAAGAACTTGGATTACTTAATGTGGCATTAAGACAAAAACCTATGATTATAAACTGATTTTCCACCTGTACATCGATGTAGCAGAGCTGTGGTAACTGGTTGATGCCTTCCAGGGATTTGAGGCCGCAACGTCTGAGGCTGAGGGACTGAAGCTGAGTACACAGAGCGAGAGTGGATAAGCTACAGCAAGGCAAGTCCTCCAGGGTCACCGTGGTAACCTGAAAGAGAGGCGAAGATGCTTCAGGGCTCAGGACTTCTCCTGGATTTGGAGAGGGTTACCCTAACCCTAACCCTTACCATGTCTGAGAATAACTTCACATTTTTTCAGTGATGAGAGAGAACTGCCACAAAATATATAAAGTATTGGCACTTTCAAATTCCCCAGACTCACATGCCATAAATGGTATTGTCAATGTGTCTGTATCACAGCTGAGCATTTACCTGCTGCAGGGATTTCCAGCCTGTGGACTGAAGCAGAGAGTCTGGGCAGAGAGGTGGCAGACTGCAGGCTTCGGGAACCCTCCTCGGCCATCTCTGACTCCGGACAGATCCTCTCTGCTTCCTTCTGTTCTGGAGGGAGAGTTTGGACCAGGGTATGCAATCCTTCATCCATGACAGCCTCTTCTGCTCTGTGTGCTCGGGGAGGCACACGGGTAAAGAAAGATTCACAGTGGAAGGCCTTGGTGCTTGATTTTTGCAGTCCACAGTTTTATCTATGGACGTCATGTTGTGTGGTATGGCATTAGTGCTGGTGGGACAGACTGTAGACTCATTATGTAAAGAACCAGGGCTTGAGGAAGTCTGTGTGGGGCTGTCTTCAAGTAGTGAGGCCAGGGAGTTTCCTGCTTTATCTATATAATAGTTTTCATTTTGACCTATCGTGCTGTTACGTTCTGTTTTCTCCTGCAGCTCATTTGCTCTTGTAACTCTCACCTCCTTTTCCTGCACCATTCTCTTTTTGCTCTCCTCCTTGTCTTTGAGTCTCATTTCATCTTCCGTTTTTTGATTAACTTCAGCCCCCTCTTCCCCATTCTGCTCCTTCTTTGCCTCCACATTTTTCCTTTCCTCCTTCCGCTTCTTCTCTTTATCTTTTGTTTTGCTCTCATGTCCCATTTTCCTGCACTCCACATCATACCTTTCATACCCTTCCTTGTCTTCCTTGAGCCTCATTTCTTCAGATATTTTGTCCTCCTCTTCTTCTTTCTGTCTCCTCGTGTCTTTTTCCTGCCACCTCATCCGTTCTTCCTCTTTTGTTTTCCTTTCATCCTCCTTTTTCCTCCTCTTGTCTTCTTCAATTAGTTCTTCTTCCATTTTTCTATTTTCCCGCTCCTCTTTTTTCTCCATTGCGTCCTCTTTCTCCTCCACCTCCCTTTTTTTCCTATCCTCTTCTTCCATCTGAGCCATCTTTTTTCCATCATCGGCCTCCTCATCCTTCTTTTTCCTCACCTCACTCTCTTTAATTATTCTCCCCACTTCCTCTATTCTCATATTATGTTCTTCCTTCTTTTTTCTGTCCTCCTCTTCGTCTTTCTGTCTCATCTCTTCTTTCTGCCTCCTCCTCCATTTTTTCTCTTTTGTTTTCCTCTTCTCATCCTCTTCAATGGGTCTTAGTTCTTCTTTCATTTTTCTCTTTTCCTCCTCCTGTTTTCTTACCACTTCCTTCACCTCCTCCATCATTTTTCTTTCATTCTCCCTTGCCTCCTCTTTCTCCTCCACCTCCCTCTTTTTCCTATCTTCTTCTTCCATCTGAACCATCTTTCGTCTATCATCGGTCTCCTCCTCCACTTTCTTTTTCCTCATCTCCTCCTGCTTCTTCCTCACCTCACTCTCTTTAATTACTCTCCCCTCTTCCTCTATTCTCATATTATCCTCTTCCTTTTTTCTGTCCTCCTCCTTTTTCAGGCTAATATCTTCCTCCATGTTTCTCTCCTCTTTCTCCATCTCTTTCCTTGCCTCTTCTATCACTTCTCTTTCCTCCTCCCTTTGCCCCTTCTCCTCCTCCTCTTTCTTTATCCTCTCCACCTCCTCTTTGTTTTCCCTCTCTTCTTTCTCCTTCATCATCCTCATCTCATCCTCCAGCTTCTTCTTTTCAAAATCCATCCTGTTTCTTTCCTCTTCTCTCTTCCGCTTTTCCTCCCTCTCTATCCTCCTCTTTTTCTCTTCTTCATTTTTCCTCTTCTCTTTTTTAAGTTTCAACTCTTCCATTTTTCTCTCGTCTTCTTTTTTCCTCATCTCGTCCTCCATTCTTTTCCTCTCTGCCTCTATCTTAATTTTCTTCTCTTCTCGTTTCCTCTTGTCCTCCTCATCCTTCATTCTCTTCTGCTCCTCTTCCCTCATCCTCCTTTCTTCCTCCACTCGTCGCTGTAAGTTGCTGATCAGTTCCTAATTGGTAAAGAAAGTCACTACAGTTACAACAATGCAACTTGTTCCATTTCATTAGAAACATTATATTGCAGATACCTAAAACAAGGCACATATAAATTGCAAAAAAATAAAAAACCTAAACACCTTAGGTAAATGACCCCTAAATGTATCATTTAATCTGGTATTTAAGGTCAGAACTTCTGATGTGAGAGGTCAAACATCCACAAAAGGGCCGGTGTTTTTCCACATACTCTCACTGTGCTGATTCCGAGTTATTAAAATAATGAGGAATTCAGAATATTAGTTTTTTTAGGAAGTCCCAGTACTTAACCAGGGAGGATGCTTAAGCAGTAACCAGCATCTGCAGGATGAATATCCCTACCTGCTGAAGCAGAAACTCCTGTTCAAGTTTTTCATGAGCTCTCTTCTCCATCAACTCAAATTCCTTCTGATGGAGCTAGATACAGAGAGCAATAATAAAAGAAAATGAATAAACATGATAATGGGATGAAATACATTTTACACTTTTTCAAATCTGGATTTTATCTTTAATATATTTCTTCACACAGCATACAGGTCTAACTGGCTATCTACTATCTATCAAACTATCTATCTTGTCTTTATTTAAAGTTCCCCTCCACTTGTTCTTTTGGAGGCGCTCTCCCACTACAGCCTGGTATTTCTTGAAAAGGCAGGGAGGCAGTGTCCTTCTCAAGAGCTCTTGAGCAAGTTGGTGATTTTCTTAGGCTGTCTCTTTCCCTAATTCCCTAAAAAACTAATACATATATTATTTGACATATTTGAATTAACAGGTTGTATTTTCCTATTTTAAGTAAGACGTATGTGAGACTAATGCCTTCACAGCGAGGGATTACCAATTTGCTCACCTGAAATACCAAGATCTACATCTGCTATATCAAGAAATATTATGACAAGTAATCATGTTGAGTAAAGGAGAGAAAGTCCACAGCGACTTGCCTTCTCTGCCTCCATTATCTTCCTCAGCTCCTTCTGGAAGTCTTTTTCCGTTTGTTTCTTTTGCTCCTCCCACTTCATCTCCTCAAGGTGTCGTTTCTCTCGCTCTGCCTTGTATTCACTGCTCTCCTCTCCATTCAGTGAGCTCTCAAGGGTCCTCACTTCAAAGGCCAAATGCCTCTCACCATCCATATATTCGTCTGTTCCAGTTTCATCTGTGACAAGTACAAAAACTTGAGTCTTTCATTTTAGTAGAGCAAGAAGGAAAACTACCAAAAGCACTTGTCACTCCTTTTATCTGCCTTCCCTGCCACCCTCTATTGCACACTATGCAGTGAACACAAACTGCTTCAAAAATAATGCATAAAGAAGTACATATATAACCGTGAGTGATTCAGGCAACACTTGGGCAGGTCAGTGGGAATATACGTCATTCTTTTCTTTTGTCAAAACTAGACTGGTGGTGTAGCAGTTGTGGTCTTTCAAAATTGAAATACTGAATAAATTAGAGCATTTCCACTCAAACACTATGTATTTATATATATTCTATGTCAAGGTTTTGCCAAATAAGTAGGGCCACACAATTAATTTAAACATTATTAAAACCACAATGTGTCCAAGTGCAAAATCCAAATCCCAGAAGCTGTAATTTCTTGAAGAAGGTAAAAACAAACAGCATTATAATGAAGTACTGTAGTGCTGCAAAGATCCCCTGGTCTACAAATCTTGTTCTCCAGATGTAAGAACATATTTAAGTTTGGTACAGACCCCCAAGAGGTGTCACAAGCTGTGATGCAAAAATGATTATTCCCACTAATCCTGAATCATATATCACAATGGAAAAATCTGTCAAAATAATCACATTTTTTACCATATTGTGCAGCTTTATCATCATCACAGTTTCAACTGCTGACAAGATTTAAGACCTGCACAAATGTAACCCTCTACTCTCTGTTCAAAACGTAGAGTTGTGTGGTGTGTACATGTTCATCATATTCCAGTCATCAATTACAACAAAAAATAGAACAACAGTGACCTCTTGTGGGCAACTGTTCTATCACCAAATAAGTCTGAGTGCATTATTAGACCTTCACCACGGCTCAACAGTGCAATGCAAAAGGAACAGAGAGAGGAAAGAGAGCATCAATTTTAATAACACCCGTGCAGTTAACTACAATTTTTAACATGTCAAGCCATGTTCGTTCACTTTGAACTTAAATCGTGCCGTCACTCAGACATAAGTTAATATTGTGCAAGATTTTATTAAGTATCAAAATAATTTTTATCCACAACTAAGTTCATAAGTGTTACTCACTTAGTGTTGCCTAAAATATGTGTGTGGCTGAAATAAAGTCAGGCTGCACCATGTGACCATTCAACCACTCAGTTTACAAAATTCTCAAGCATTTTCACTTCATTTTTCTAAACCTGTACTGTACCTTTGTTGTTGGGGCACACTGACACATTGTGAAAGAAATGTGCTTCTGTCTCTGTGGGTGCAGGAAGAAGGTTGGTGTTGTTCTCCTTATCTGTGTCACAAATGGCCTGTATCAAACAACACATAGATTTAGAGTGGTTTTCCACAACTTGTGGACTTGGATTGTATTTCGGATGGTTCATGCAGTGAGGGGCTTGAGACCTGCTTGAGAGACATTTACCTGCCCATTTAGTTTCATCATGTCCTTATCAAGTTTGTTAGGTAAGTTCATCATGTCCTCAGTGTGATGTGATGCAGTGAAGTCTGTGATGCAATTGAAAGAAAACACAGATATCATCATAATCATGAGAAACAAACTCAGCCATGGCTTTACTTCAAGGTCTTTTTATTGTAAATATGTAGAAATGTGTTACCGTTAACTGATAAATCTCAAAAGTGTCAGGTAAGATTAGTAATTCCGCAGTTTATTTCTACACAACAGCTAATTCCCAGCCCTCGCCACAGTGAAGCAGTGCCTCTAGAAGCACGGTGTTGCATGATGTGCTTGCTATTCAGCACGTTTGAATACCTTCAACTTCCTCAAGGATGAGCTTCTCACAGACTGCTGCTCTGCTTTTTGAGGTTTCAAAGTAGCTGAGCAGAGATGCTGGAATGGCATCTAAATCCTATTGGCAGAAAGTTGGTTTATGTTAGTTTGGTCTCATCACAAAAGGTAAATGTTAATGTTTAGTCTTGTACATACCTAAACATCCAAACACTAAGCAGTAGCCTATGTGCTTTGTGTGATATACGGTAGGTCAGTTACAATGCTCTCAGGTTAGCCATAATTCAATTCATGTTACTGGATCTCCTCCATTGTGAAGGTTTTAATATATGCCAAATACATTTTCTTTAGCGTTTTGCCATGCGTTTACACAAATATATACTTAAATTGTACAGAAGGCAACTTTCAACTCTGACTATCTTATGATTTCCCCCAGGGTACATTTGACTCCAGTCAGGTGAAACACAAAGCACACAAAGACTTGAACTTAAAAACATCATAAAAACATCAAATAGAAAACATATATAAGCTATAGTATAACCCATCCAGCCACCCATCAAGCTGACATTAAATAGTTGGCAGCAGGTGATAGCTGCTGCTGTTAGCTAACAGCTGCATTAAGCTTGCTGTAAACTGTACCTATCCATTTAACGTTAACAAATGATCATATAATCATCTCATTCAGCAGGAGACTGTACCCACCGTCTCTTCTTGAGAAGAGCTCTCCTGCTCTCCATTAGTTTCATCAGTATCCGAGATTACTCCATCACTCAGCTCCTGGATGCTGGTGTCATACAGCTCATTAGAATCCGCCATGGTTTTAAAAGGTCAGCGACTCTTCGGCACACAGCTTTTCCTCGCAGCTGCCGCCATTTGTGGTCAGGAGGTTATCTTACGTTGTTATTATTACCCGCAATGCGCATAGTTGCTGTGTGTCTGAACGGTAGGCTGTTTGGCACGTTGAAGCTAATTGAACATTTGCTAGCATGCGAAACAAGCGGACTCTTTCGCGTCCCTTTAGGTACTTCAGTCTCCATGGAAACCACCCTGTGCACTACGCCGCTTCGCTAGGGACAAACTGTGCAAAAGGCAAAGGGAAAGTTTGATGTTCTTTATAGTGTGTCCTTGTAACGCAGATATATCAAATATTATTGCTCTATTTCTTTCAGTTACATCTTTACACATATTTATATCTATAAGTTTTTGCATTGGTATTTTTAAATGATTATAATTGAAACCGAACTCTGGTATATTGATATTTTACATTCATATTTTACTGACAGTATTGTTTTCTGTATAGCTGTTTGTACATTGTTAATTAAAAAAAAGGGGGAAATGGAAATACTGTAGGTTTCAGGTAAAAATCCTTTATTGACTAGCAGTAGTATTCAAATCGTTATTGTCATTATTCTCCTACTCACAGTTTAAATCTTTCCACACTTAACTAGTGATAACTAGTGTCACACTTTATACAATAACCAATCTGAGAACAACAGCTTTGCTTCACTAAAGTGTCAGGGACTTGTGTGGGCATTTTGGGCAGCCAGCTAGAAGGGGTCAGTGAGCCTAAGACCTTGTAGGTGAATCACAGGACCAGAAGAACAAAAATATGTGTGAGGCTGTGAACAATGCACACTTTTTCTATGGCATTTCTGATCACAAAGACCGGTTCCTCTCTCCCGCGGAGAAGTCTCTGCACTCGTGCTGTACTCCTTCTCTTTGAGGAGATTCCAGTGGCCCACACAGGTTGTCCCATACACATTCCCGAGGGCTCTCTAAAAGGAACCCAGTCTCCTTCCTCAAAGTTTCAAAGAAGAACAACGTGTCCTTCATCCCAAACTGTTTGCTCCGGAGACACACTAAGGCCTGTTGTCCTCTCTCGTGGCGGTCCAGGATGAAAACAAAACAACAGAATGGCGCCAGATCAGACTACTTTTTCCTTCAAAGCCCAAAACTGAATTCCACAATGACAATGAAAGGCACCACATCTGCAACACCTACAAGGTCAACACCATCCAGACCTTCACAGGTCCAGCAGATACAAGCTTTCATAAAGTTCATTATGGGTCAAAGCACAACTTCAGTCCTGTGGCTGATGGGCAGAAACAGGACACTTTGGTGTTGCCCCCGTTGTTGGAGTCAAACTGCCTGTCCCTTATGTTTCATTAGGTCCCCTAAGATTCATTGACCAAGTTCAATTGCTTAAAAAGGCTCCATCAGCAAGCCTTGTCCACTCCGATTAGGGCCAGGCCCTTTGTCAGTGGGCAAGGTGTCCGTCGCTTTTGTCCAAGTGCACAGAACCCAGACAGCAGCCAGACAGGGCCAAGCTGCAGATTTATACAGCAGATTACGCCAGTCAATGGCGGCTCCGGCCCAAACGCAGTAGTGGTTTGGATAGCAGCCGTGTGTTTACACTGTCAAGGGTTTTCTGTTACTCGTCTGTAGCCATTATCTTGGCAGCCATTGGGCCTATCAAGCCTATCATTTCCATCTGGGGGCTTTGACGAAAGAAGGGATTGGAGGAAAAAATTACCACCATCCCAAACAATCCTTTAACGTTCTATTACTGCCCATTTTGAACGCAACATTTCTGACTCGTAACATTTCTGACTTGCAACATGCACATGTCGTGTCTCATATATATATACCTTGTTTAATCCATTTAGCATATTTATTAATTGTGGATTTAATCAACCAACCAAGAATCAAAATACCATCCAGAAATCATATATTTTCCATGCATGAACTCAAGCCAACATTTCAAACCCCAGTGGGAGGGAAATGGATGATTCTTCTCAATGCTCTGAGGCAGATTATAGGCTTCTGAGAATAAGGCGACTTGTATGTGGACCTGATGGTAAGTTTGAACATATTCGGTGCACGTGAGGGGGGGAAATAGTTAAGCGAGCTAATCCTGAACGAATGCTGCTGTAAGCCTAATCACTCCTATGTTGCATTCTTGTAGTTATCTGTCAAGTCAAATTCTTGCTTGTTCAACCAATATCTGATGTTGGTTTTTCACAAATTTCTGATGATATTCCTGCACAACACAGGCTTCAATTTGTGAAGTTCAACCAGTTCATCCTCAACACCCTAATAACCAAGATTATGTCTCCTTCAGTGGGATGACAACAGCAGCTAATCGGTTGGACTTGAATACAGATTTGGATTGCCTTTCAAAGATATCATTATGCTGCCAGTGTGACCTTAGTACATCTAAATCTGCTTCAAATGACTGTGGGATTACTGTAATCACAATTCCACCTAACAAGCTGGGGGCTGAAAGGAATCTGCCCCAGGTTCAATGAGTTACAGGTCCACTAGTTTTTATTCATCATTTAGACACTTCTTCCAAGTTATTTGTATGTGGTATTTGTGGTATATGTGGTATTACATGGTTCACACATTTTTTCAAGGTTAAATCTGAACATTTTCATACGTCTTCTCTGCAAATATCAGTCACATGCTGAGAACAACATTTCCCCACAGGGCAATCAATGGTAACATCAAAAACCAGGGGCAGAATGAAATGTGAGCCCTTTTGTTTACTTTGTAAGGGACTGAATACATGTACAAAGAATATCTCAAGCTATACTGCATTTTGTGCTGAGCCACTGCAGTCTATGTGAAGACACCCACTGTGTAGAGGCAGAAGACAGCTCTCAGAGACAAACTGTAGAGGATACTCTAAATGCAACATTTCCCCTTTAACAAAACATGCAGACTAGATAATGAAATAGATTATTTTCTTTTCTAGATGAAGCTCTGATCACTGTATGAAGTAATCTGTCGGTAGTAGTATGGAGTAAGTTCGTCTTTGTAAAGGCAGAGGAACTATTGAACTATTGAACAGTGCAGACAATCATACGAGTGCAGTGCAGAATCTGCTTACTTAGTATTCTTACATGCAGTAACATTTATTTAATTACATGAACACTGCATCAACATTGATTGGTGGTTGTTGGTAACTTTTTAGGAAGTAACAGCCTTTGTTTTTCATACTGGTTCTGAAAAGTGTTCTTATGCTGTATTGGAGGGTTTTCCGATCTACAGTAGAGAATATTATAATAATAATAATTATATATAATTAATTTGTATCATTACCTCTGTTATTTCAACTATTTCATGCAATTTATTTTATCGTTCTTTGTAATTGTAAATTCTTGCTGTGTTCTGTCAAAGCACTTTGTAAACCATGTTTTTAAAAGTGCTATACAAATAAAGTTATTATTATTATTATTATTATTATTATTATTATTATTATTATTATTATTATTATTAATATCTTGAATGCAGTCTTGAGATTCTATTAAAGGCTGGAGTGGGTTTCACCTGCTTGTACCTCTCTGAAGTACTAAATGGATGGAAATTACAGCATTCAAATCACTGATACATACTGACATCTAATCATGTATTGTGATTTTCTGACAATCGTTTTACTGTCATGCATGGAAACACCCACCCACGTGGTGCCTAATAGGGATAAAACAAACCATAAAGAGGGCACTTGGCCCGGGTCTGGTGTTAGTGCTGTGATGTAGTCCGTTGGGTCCCATGACTTGTTCTTGGCCTTGTGTCACAGGACAGTTCCTAGTGAGAGACGAGAGGAGGCTTTGCTGCAGTTAATCCTTTCTTTGAAAAAGCATCTCCACCTGCAGCCAGCGAGCTCCAAAGATGAGCCTGAGCCAAATTACTGCCATTATGTTGTTGGTGGTGTGTAATTATGCAAAAACAATGTCAGCCTCCGTAGTTTTCTCTGGACCCCTGCCCAATGTGACCAGTGATGACATGTATAGCCGCATGTTGCCATTCCACCACTGGCTGTCGAGGTGGTGTCCAGCAAACGATGTGGGCTTCATAGATAACTGGCAACCTTTTTGGGGAAACCTGGTCTTATTAGGAGAGACGGCATCCATCCCACTTTGGATGGAGCGGCTCTCTTATCTAGGAATATGGCAAAGTTTATTTCTAAAACCTGACAGTCCAGAGTTGGGACCAGGAAGCAGAGCTGCTGTCTTACACACTTCTCTGCTCTTCCATTAGAACAGTCACCCACCCAAAACCCCATAGAGACTGTGTCTGTCCCCCGACCACCTAAATTATTTAAAGAAATACAAACAAGAGGAGTTAAACATAAAAAAAACATTTAAAATTAAAACCAACTCCTCAGTAGCACAAAATAAGAGAATGAAATGTGGACTGTTAAATATCAGGTCTCTGTCCTCTAAAGCTGTTTCAGTGAATGAATTAATATCAGATTATAATATTGATTTACTTTGTCTTACTGAGACCTGGTTGTCCCACGAAGAGTATGTTAGCCATGGATCCTGATGGAGCCTCCTACCATGGTCCTGCTTGACTGCCATTGCTAATATCACTGATATTATTGTTGTTGTTATTATTATTATTATTATTATTATTATTTAATATTATTATTACTACAGTTACTATTATTACTATTGTCACTGCTCATTGTCCCACATTGTCTGTCTGTCTGTCTGTCTGTCTCTGTCTCTGTCTCTGTCTCTCTCTCTCTCTCTCTCTCTCTCACCCCCAACTGGTCGAGGCAGACGACCACCCACCTAGAGCCGAAGGGTCTGTCCTAGGTTTCTGCCTCTTAACAGGCAGTTTTTCCTTGCCCCCGTCGCCAAGTGCTTGCTCATGGTGGTACTGTTGGGTCTCTGTAAAGGTTATAAGGAGTTCGGCCTAGACCTGCTCAATTTGAAAAGTGTCCTGAGATAACTTCTGTTATGAATTGGCGCTATACAAATAAAATTGAATTAAATTGAATTGAATTGAAAATGTGCCCTGTGAGTGTGCGTGTGTTGTGAATATCCAGGTGGATTTAGATGCCATATGTCACATGTCATTTTCCTCTATATAATCATGTTGTTAGAACATTTTCATATCAACATTTTGTGGCTCACTCTTCATATATCTAAATGATTGATATCAGATAAAATGTTACCCAAAGCTGCCAGAAAATTACTGAAATCCTGTCAAAATACTTTATATTTAAATAATACATTTGATATTGAATGATTTAGTT